GCATATTGCTTTGCTGCTGTCTGTCGATTGATCTGTCTGTCTGTTGGTCCACCAACAGTTTCCGTTCATTTTCGCCGCAGAAGTTGCACATACTGATTCAGAAATGAAATTTGGTATACAGATTTATCATAAGAATATCTAGGTCTAGCTCTGTTTTGAGCAATTTTTGACAGAGTTATGCCCCTTGGACTTAAAAAAATTACAATTGTTTGCAGTTTCCGTTCATTTTCTCCACAGAGGTTGCACAAACTAAAATGAAATTTGCTATACAGATTTATCATAAGAATATCTAGGTCAGGTTCTGATTTGATTACGATCGAGCATTTTTTGACAGAGTTATGCCCCATGGACTTAGAAAAATTCCAATTATTAGCAGTTTCTGTTCATTTTCTAAGCAGAGGTTGCACATAATGAAATGAAATTTGGTATACAAATTTATCATAAGAATATCTAGGTCAAGTTCTGTTTTGGGTACGATCGAGCATTTTTTGACAGAATTATGCCCCATGGACTTAGAAAAATTCAAATTATTTGCAGTTTCCGTTCATTTTCTTTGCTCTGAAATGAGAATTGGTTATACAGATTTATCACAAAATTATCTAGGTTAAGTTGCGTTTTGGGTATGATTGAGCAATTTTTGACAGAGTTATGCCCCTTGGATTTAGAAAAATTTCAATTATTTGGGGGGGGGGGGGGGGGGGTGGTTCATAACTGTTTCACAATCATCTCTTGTTATTTTAATACTACTATAATTTTTAAGCATTTAACTTTGAATGAGTTCGTGGATTTGAGATAGAGACAATATTATGCTTTATTTATGATTGCTCACATATAATATTAGTCCAGATTGAAAAAAAAATGACAGCAATTCTTACTACAGGTCATTCAGTTTGAAAATAGGCTAGAGCATAGTGCTTGTGACAAATTTGTATAAAAACAGTAATTTTTACTTTTTTCCAGAGGTTTGAGGAGCTGAAGAATCAACAGAACCAGCTGCTTTATTTGTCAAACACTGTTCAGGTGTGGGGGCTCAAATACCATAGACATTTCTGTCAAGATCAATTGTGTCTTTATGGGGATGACCTTGATCAGAATTTTGTTTTCCTTGACAAAATCAGTATATTGACCTGTAGTTATGTAAATATAAAGTAAAAAAAAAAATTCCAATAAGCTGACAAGCTTAATTCTCAAGCTGACAGTACAGTGAAACTTGTCTAATCTGGATGCTGTGTATTCCGGAATCTTGCCTAATACGATCTAAACATGAAGTCCCTTTCAGTAAATTTCATTGTTTAAAATGTTGTCTAATCCTACATGTTGTCTAATGTGGCCAAATTCTTTGGAACCAATTGTGTTCGAATTAGACAAGTTTTACTGTACATGTATTTCGTTTAGGTTTGCATGCCCTCAAAGTTTGTCTGAAAAGTGGCAGTGAATTCAGTTGAAGAAAAAGAAAGAAATTTTATTTTTGAGTTATTGCAAAAAATTTTTCCTTTCAAAAATGTAGAAGTAATGTTTTAAAAATCATAGTAGACTTCTCTCCAAATTCTTGAGAATGTATAAATACTGTAATATGTATTTTTATAGGAACTGAAAGTGGAGAACACAGACCTTCAATCTAAGCTCAACCAGTCTAATGAAGCCTTTATAAGGTTAAGTTATACTTATTTTCATTCAATCAGGGAAAAAAGAATACTTGTATTTTACTCCACAAGAAGTCTGTTCTAGTTTTTGATATTGTTCAAAGCTCTGAAAAAGGATTTTTAAAAAACTTATCTTTATATATTTTTCACAATTTGTATTGAGCTGGGGACTTGTTTGTTTATTCTTCTGATGTGTTAGTGATTTTGTTTGTTTTTTTACCAGCCTTAAACAGTCCACTGAATACAGAGAGAAGGAGGACCATTTTACAAGGTTTCCCTGTAGTACCCCAATCAAGAAGAACAGCTCCATCTGTATGGAATTGAAAGGAATGGTAAGTAACATTGAGATCATATGTTGTATAAAACAGACTTTGTGTACCATTGGTGTTTATTTTTATCTCCAGGGTTTTCTGTAGGATAAATCTTGTTTATGAAATGGTGAAATTGGTGGGCTGGTGGCTGCCTAAATGGTACATCATTTGTCTAGATAACTCCTACTACAGTTTTCAAGATGGGAACTTTTTTTTATTAGCTCACCTGAGCCAAAGGCTCAAGTGAGCTTTTCTGATCAAAATTTGTCCGTTGTCTGTCGTTGTTGTTGTCGTCGTCGTCGTTGTTGTTGTAAACTTTTCACATTTTCATCTTCTTCTCAAGAACCACTGGACCAATTTCAACCAAACTTGCCACAAAGTATCCTTGGATAAAGGGGATTCAAGTTTGTTCAAATGAAGGGCCACACCTTCTTCCAAGGGGAGATAATTAAGAATTTGTGAAAAATTAATGGCATCATTAAAAAATCTTCTTCTCAAGAACCACTGTGCTTGAAAATATGAAACTTATGTGGAAGCATCCTCAGGTAGTGTAGATTCAAGTTTGTTCAAATCATGACCCCCGGGGGTCGGGTGGGGCCACAATGGGCGATCAAAGATTTACATAGGAATATATAGGAAAAATCTTTAAAAATCTTCTTCTCAAGAACAGCAAAGCCATGATTGGTCATATTTACATGGAAGCATCCTCAGGTAGTATAGATTCAAGTTTGTTCAAATCATGACACCCCCTCCCCCCCCCCCCCCCCCCCCCCCCCCCCCCCCCCCGGAACCACTTTTTTATTTAAACTTTTCAACCTTTCAAGACTGAACTGATTTCTGCTTTTTCCTAGCCATAGTGCTCAGGTGAGCGATGTGGCCCCTGGGCCTCTTGTTTTTGCATATCAATTGTATATATGTCAGAGATGTGCATATTACTTGGATTTTGATTTTTGATACCAGCTGTTGAACTTAGTCATTTTTTTTTGTGCATTTATAAATGATAACTTCATTCGATATTTTTGGAGTCTAGAAATTATTCAAAAGTAAAGCGTCACTTACTGTCAATTTTTCTTTTCGTTCACAAAGTTCTAGACTTTCAACGTGAAATGTCAAAATCTACAGACACGTATTTATCAGATGCGGGTTTTGCAAATCAAAAGGTGCGTTCAACATAACCATGAACACAATTATTTACGATCTGATGATTACTGAATCGACATTTTAATTTTTATATAAACATTTATGTCTTCCCCCCAATGTTGTGGTGCCGGTTTGAAATGAGTCGTTTGAGTTTGGATCCCGATTTTTATTTTGATTTATAAATCGTGTACCTATATTGTCATTGATTTAATGTTATACTGATATGGAGGCATAAGCAAGTTAAATGAGTAAGTACTTTTTTATGCCCCCGGATTGAAAGATCCCGGGGGTATATTGTTTTTGTCCTGTCTGTCTGTTTGTCTGTTTATCTGTTTGTCTGTTTATCTGTTTGTCTGTTGTCAACTTTAACCTTGCCCATAACTTTTGATTGGTTGGAGCTATGACTTTCATATTTCACATGTGTATTCCTTATGACAAGACCTTTCTTTGGGTACCATAATATTTGACCTTTTGACCTTGACCTTGGAGTTTGACCCACTTTTGCAAAATTTTATGAGACTTTAACCTTGGCCATAACTTCTGAACAGTTGTTGCTTGGGGTTTCAAACTTCACTTACATGTGTATTCTTTGTGACAAGGCCTTCCTTTGGATACCAACAACTTTGACCTTTTGACGTTGACCTTGGAGTTTGACCTACTTTTGAAAAACTCTAACCTTGGCAATAACTTTTGAACAGTTGGTGCTTGGGGTTTCATACTTCACATGTGTATTCCTTGTGACAAGACCTTCCTCTGGATATCAATCACTTTGACCTTTTGACCTTGACCTAGGAGTTTGACCTACTTTTGAAAAACTTTAACCTTGGCCATAACTTTTGAATGGTTGATGTTAGGGATTTCATACTTCACATATGTAATCCTTGTGACATCACCTTCCTTTGGATACCAACCGCTTTGACCCTTTGACCTTGATGTTTTACTTACTTTTAAAAAACTTTAACCTTCGCCATAATTTTTGAATGGTTGGTGCTAGGGCTTTCATACTTCACATATGTAATCCTTGTGACAAGATTTTTCTTTGAATACCAACCACTTTGACCTTGACATAGGAGTTTGACCTACTTTTGAAAAACTTTAACCTTGTCCATAACTTTTGAATGGTTGGTGCTAGGGCTTTCATACTTTACATATGTAATCCTTGTGACAAGACCTTCCTTTGGATACCAACAACTTTGACCTTGACCTTGATGTTTTACTTACTTTTAAAAAACTTTAACCTTCACCATAACTTTTGAACAGTTGCAGCTAGGGCTTTCAAATTTAACATTTTTTATCTTTTGGCCTGGATTTTGACTTGCATTTGAGAAACTTTAACCTTCACCATGAGCTGCCATACGGGGGCATCAATGTTTCACAAACACATCTTGTTTTATTTACTTGTAATTTGACCATTTATTTCTTTAAGTGGGCAGTGTTACCGCCACATTTCAGTTCGTTTCATGACACTAATGTAAACACACATTAGCAGGTGTTAATCAGTTAATTGCATTGAGGTGACTCGGGTAATTTTGTGGGGCTAATTACCGTTAATTATGAGCAGTTGTGACCAATATGGCCGTTCAGAATACAGAATAGACACTATCCAGACTACACAGAATTTTTATAATACATTTGTTTAAGAAGTGCATGGGACTAAAATTTTTAGTCGAACTGGACAAAATTCTGAAGTACTCAGAGTCCGGATTAGACAAATTTTACTGTATATATATTGCATTTGTATTCCATGTAATAATACCTACCCTTGGGTACAAACAATTTTGACCTTGACCTTGAAGTTTGACCTACTTTTGTAAAAACTTTAACAACCTTGGCCATATCTTTTGAACATTTGATGCTAGGGCTTACATATTTCATGGATGTATTCATTGTGACAAGACCTTTTCATAAGTACCAATATTTTCTTACCTCATGACTTTGAGCTCAGAGTTTGACCTACTTTTGAAAAACTTTGACCTTGATTATAATTTCTGAATGGTTCCTGCAAGGGCTTTCATATTTTACAGGCGTATTCCTTGTGACAAGACCTATCTTTGTGTAACAACAGTTTTGATCTCTTGACCTTGGAGTTTGACTTTCATTTGAGCATTTGAGAAACTTATACCTTTCCCATGAGCTGCCATATGGGGGCATCAGTTTTTCACAAATCACCTTGCTTATATTGAAGATCAATTGTACATACATCAGACACTTTCATAGTACTTGGATTTTGATTATTGGTCATTTATGGGAAATATACCACATGCTGAAATTGGTCATTTTTATGCAAAACATGTTCTCAGGGTACATTAACATTGTGAATGTGTCACTTCCTACAGTTTTCAGAATATAAGGATTTATAATTCATGCGAGAAATACTAATACTGTTCACATAAAATAACACCTGGTTTGCTATCAGATTGACAGCTTTTCACTTGTTCTTATTTTTGATAGTTGGAGAGTGGGGATCACATGCCCTCTCCCTTGTGTGAGAAAGAAATAGATGAAATGGACCAGATCTTTCCTTTGTTTTCCTTGGATGGTGAAGACATGGAGGGGAGTGATCCAAACATCAGTATTTACTCTGTTTCACTGAAAGACGACCTCACCATGGATGTATCCAAATTTGTAGGTGTAACACAAGAGGGGTTATAAAGTCAGAGAAAAGTCTTGGTTGTTAATGCATGCCGATTCTTAATTTCTCTACAGTTCAGAGGCCAGTGCAATTTGTTTGAGATAAAGGAATTGTTATCAGTAATATTTTCTTGATGTGAAATATAAAGTGTTCAAAGTTATCTGTACAAAAAAGTTGAAGTGCATTTATGTTGGCGATTTTAAATAGCAGTTAAATGGCAAATGGTTCAATCTCTCTTTCTTAACAGGTATGCCTTATTTTTGTTTCTTTGAATTTATGTATATACACAGATGGAGAAATACCAGAATAAACAAGACACCCTGCTGGAGGAGATCCGAGAATTTCTGGGGGCAGGGGGAGCCTCGGGGGATGGATCCTTTACTTCAGAATTTGTCAGGAAGGTGGAGGACCAAATGTCTAAATTGTCACAAAGGGTGACCACTCTCGCTCAAGCCAAGACAGATGTGGATAAAAGGTAAACTGACCCAAAGGGTGACCACTCTGGCTCAGACCAAAACAGACATTGATGAAAGGTAATAAACTGGCACAAAGGATGATCACTCTAGCTTAAGTCAGAACTGACGTAGATAAAAAGGTATACATTTGCACAAGTTGACCACTCTAGCTTAGAAAAAAAAATGTAGACATCAGATGAATCTAGTTCATCTTTTTCCCATGGATGGGTTTAATTTTCTTCATTTTGACAGGTTATGTAGCCAGAAGAAAAAAGTGAAGAAGCTTAAAGGTAAATCCAGTTTTCAGATACCATGTAAGATGGCATATGTTGAAACTCCAAGGAAATAGTAAATATCAATACCAACTTTTATTTGCGTGCGAGAAATATTTGCGAATTTCGCGATGAACTTTTATTTGCGAATATTTATCACCGCGAACCATTTATTTTGCTTTGTATTTGTAGAGGGTGTTGCCTAAGTCACAAAAACAAATTGCAGCAGATTGATTTCAATCTGACGAATCGCGAATAAAAGATGACGCAAATAATAGTTGGTTTACAGTAATTTTTCATCTGTGTAAAATTCGTAATTTTTAATCTCAATTTTTAGCTTACTTGAGCCAGAAGCTCATATGAGCTTTTCTAAACAGTTTGTCTAGTATGTATCTCTAATCTTACATTCTTATCCAATTCTCCAGAAAACACTGGGCCAATTTCAACTGAAATACCACAAAGCATCTTTATATGAAGGGATTCAAATTTGTTCAAATGAACGACCACATTCTTTTATGTGTATAAGGGAGATAACCAATATTAATTAATTTGGGAGTGGATCATTTAAAATTCCTCTTGTCAGTACAAGACTACAATTTTGATCAACTTAATTGACTTCAATGTTCTGTAAATTACATTTTTTGAAATTGAAAATGAAGACTACAATGGGTTTTATTTATGTGCATATTTATTTTTCGGTAAGCATTGTAACCCATGGACCTCTTGTTATTCTTAAGTTGTTATTAGATATTTGATACATTTTGTTTGGCAAACAGAAGAGAATGCTGTTCTGAAGGATGCGGCTGATGATGTGATGGAGAATAGAATCTCATGGGACTCGGTGACAGACAAACGACTCCTGATTCTAAAGGACCAGATAGATCAGGAGAGAGCCCACATCAAGTTTATGGAGAGAAAGGTCTGGTCCTACAAGCAATTTGTTAAACTTAATGAATTCTCCTCCTGAATGAGTTTTTTAAGGCATGTCTGTGTTTTCAAATTCTTTGACTCTAAATAAATGGGAATGTTGGAATACTCCTGAAAGAGACAAGTGTTTTTATAGATTTCTTATTTATAACATGAAGAACTGACTTTCAAGTTTGAAAATAGAATATATTTTACTAGGCCAGTGTATAGGAAATGAATGTGTCAGGGACAACTATAAGGTTTAGATCAAACCTGGATAGATAGAATAAAAGTAAAATATTTATATATTATTGTATGAATCTTTAAGATTTTTCTAAACTGTATTAACATTTTATACAAAGATATGTCAGAGCTCTAGCTTTTAGAGTCAAATAAGGCACTTTGATTAATACAAAGAAGCAGTGATTGAAAAAAAAAATTTAATTGTCCATGAATCAGGTGCTACAAAATTTGGCTCTTTTTAATATTTTGGTTATGCTAAAGACTATACAGGAAAACAAAGATATATATTTTCATATTGTAGTTGAGAGGAAAGGAAAGAACTGCTGTCATTGTGGATAAAAACAAAAAATCGGGAGCCGAGAAAGTTTTAAAGCTGGAAATCTATAAACTACAAAGGTGATGTTTCTATCAATACAATTTAGCAGTAATTATTTTTAAAAATGCATTAATCCATTATTATGGCAACAATTGTTTCTATCAATACAATTTAGCAGTAATTATTTTTAAAAATGCATTAATCCATTATTATGGCAACAATTATTTTGCAAATCCAAATCTTTAGAAATCTACAAATGGATTATGTGTACATTAAAAGATGTACGTGCATTCACCACCAAATATCTTCCACAAGGTCAACATAAATATCTGTGTAAATCCCTATTTTGGACTGAAGTTTCATTTTACTTTGCACCGATGCATTCAAATGTTACCTTTAGAATTAATAATTAAAAGAGAAAAAAGCTGTTCAATTATTTATGATATAAGATTTTTGTGGAGGTCAATATCAGTTTTGGATCTATTCTAAAATCCTGTGTATTGAGAAAAGCTGGGCCTCTTTGGATTGATATAGCTGTCTAGTTCTGTGAGAATTATGGATTTTGTTCCCAAGTTTTATGCCAGACTTGTGAAACATTCTATAATGTAACTATTGTGTAGGAATTATAGAAGAATGTCTTTTAGATATTATTTAATGCAACTCATTGTTGCACACTTAATTATACTTGAAAAGACAAGAGCCAGAAATGGATTGTTTGTGTCAGAATTGTAGTCTTAATTGTTATAGCCTGGGATCTAAGTCCCTCTCTTCTCTTCCAACACAGACAATAATTTCCCTGAATTGCATTAAATTTTGCCTTTATTGGATTTGGAATCATTTCTTCTGCACGTCACGGGGCCTCGATAGAGCTGTTGCTGGTTGTCCCTCATTTAACAATAAATAAACAGAATGGGGATTCAGATCTTTGTGATACATGACAGTTGGTCCATCTTTAACGAGATCAGCCAATCAATAGTGAGGGAGAGAGGCAGGCTTGAGTTGTTAAGAGGAGGTCTCTGCGTACTTCGTACTGTCAAAGACAGGGAACTTAAGGGAATAACAATTTACGACTTCAGAGAAACTTTGTGTTTTTTTATGTGAGACACGCAGAATATGGAGCTAGGATTTTATAGCTTACATTGTGTGAACTCTCTTTGATATGGAAGTGTTGTTGAGCTGAACAATTGGAATCCAGAGCCAGATTATCTTTTTTTCTTTAATTTTGTCCTGAAAATTAAATTATTTTGGGTTTTGACTTCAACACATCGATGCAAGTCTGATTTTAAAAATGCACACCTGACATTATTCTTGATTAAGGTCTTTCTTGTTGTCAACTTCTTTCATCTACTAGCTCTTCAAGGAATGGAATTTAAAATTAATTTATAGGTGAATTCTTCTATGAACTTCTATTTAAAGCTGAGATATATTGCAAGGATTTTCTATGTCGCATCATTTTCGTATACCACAGTGGATGGATTTAGAGATGTCAAGTGAACAAAACCAGAAGCTGATAATGCCTTGTTTAATTCTTGAGTCGGAGACACTGTGCATTGTGATTTATGATGTGTAAGATATTTTGCTAAATTTTCCTTCATGAAATTTCATGTACATTACTATCAGCTGACCATCATTTTTCATTTGTAGGATCATTTAATATTGGTAATATTTGACCCTAATTAGGCTGGAAATTTGTTTTCATTTTTTGCTCTACTGGTCAGAGACCAGAAGAGCTATATGCGATAGTAAGGTGTCCGTCGTCTGTCTGTCTAGCTGTCTGTCTGTCTGTAAACAATTTTTCGAAATGCTACTCCTCCTACAGTTTGGGTCTGATTTCAATATAACTTGGCACACAAGTAGACTACACTAAGATACATAATATAGAGCATTGGTTTTTGATTTCAATGATTGGTGTTGCCATGGTTACTAAAAATAGAAATGTCCGTGAAATTCCTTTAAAACGCTACTCCTCCTACAGTTTTCAATATAACTTGACACACAAGTAGACTACATTTAGATACAAAATTCTATTTATTGCTGCATGTTGCAAAGTTTCAAATTCAAGTGCTACTTTTTCTTTGTTACATGTATATGTACAGACCAGTAGAGCTGCAGTCTCATCAGAGACTTCTGGTTTCATTATTTAGTTAAGGACGTTGAATATTCTATTAAGTTTCACAATTTTTAGCATATACATGTTTAGAATACTATATGTGTACTTAAAAAAGCAGGCTTCATATTTTAGCGGCTTTGGTGCAGACAACAATGCGCTAATTCATGAATAACGCAAAGAAATCATTTATAGATACAATAGATGGCACGGACTTATGAAGTCCTAATTCATGATTACGCCAACAACTCCATACCCAGAGATTGCCCGAAATTTTGAATACGCCAAATTATGTACATGTACAGTAATCTGTGTCCAGTAAAGGGTAACAAGATGGTCTCATATAGCAGAGATGATCTATAGCTACTGTTCTCATTCTCAATTTAGGGGCTTGCATGTGTTCATTATTTTTTCTGCATTGTCGCAACATTAATTTCTGTATGAGCAAAGAAAGGGTTTTATTGTTTAAATAAAGAGATTGAGTTTTTTGCGACTGTAAAGATATCCAAATTCAATTACCTCTGATAATATTCATACGACTGTTCTGTGATTGCTTGGTAATCATACAATTGTGATTGTTATAGAATGACCTCCCTTATAAGAAGTCTTGGATAAATAGGGCATATTTAACAAGGGAAATAACTTCAGTGAACACCTTTACAAGAAACATTGTGAAACTGATTTTCTTCATGCTAAATGAGATAAAATGAAAATACCATAAACAACTGTACAAAATATCTTTTAAGTGTATTTTATGTAGAGAAGTAAAGTCTTTGACAGTAAGATTAATCTTATCTAATGCACCAGTGTACTTAATTGTTAGACTTTGAAAATGCTGAGTTGACAAAATACCAGGTGTAAGAATGTTTCATTAAGATTTAAATAATTTAAAGTCAAACTATTGTAGACCTGTGTTTTGAGTTAATTTACTTTTTGAAGATAATTGTGATTTTCCTTACAGTTTGCTTAGCTGCCCTCTCTTTTATTGCCTGTTGCATGATTTTAAGCACTAAAGTTTGTTTTCATTTCTGAAAAGTTTCAACAATGGGAGTACTTCAGTTATGGCCAATTGCTGAAAAGAACTCTATATGCATGATACAAGAGTCACTTTTGCATATTTATTCAACAGATTTCCTGGTAGTACAATGAAATGACATCAGAACTAGAAAACATAGCATCTTTTACATGGTATTATATGGTACAATACAGTTCTAAAGCTGCCAACCCTTATGATTTTTCTTTTTATTCTTCCGATTTCCATTTTTCTCCGTAAGAGGTTTGAAAAAATCCTTTATTTTCATAGCTGTCCACCTTCAGTTTTCACTATTATAGCAAAAAGCGTCATTGTCCTTATCATGCAAGCAATTAAACCATGAACAAACAGGGAGCAAATGCTGATCACAGGAAACATCTGAGCTGTGTATGACTCACATAAAATGGTCTTACAGTGTTTGAATTATCCCATATAAAAGAAGAAGAAATGGAGAGTGCAAGCTGACCAAATGCAAAAAAGGAATAGTAGATTGTTTCAAAGACAGTAGGAATTCTAAAAAATTGTTGTTCAACATGTGAAAGGGGTCTTTAATAGGAGGAAGTTAAAACAGATTTTATACTTAATTTTTGTTGTGGTTTGTTGAAAGAAAATCAATGGTTGAAGTCATTTTTAATTCCCAGTGTGTAGTCAAAAAGAAGAGTTTCTATAATATATCAACAAGATAACCAAGATTTGAAGTCTAGAAATGTTCTTGTCAATTTTTTTTTGTTTTTCAAGAATAAATGCATGTTTGGGAATTTAATGTCTCAAAACACATGCATTAATAGCAATGCATGATGGCATATAAGAGAGAAATACATTAAGTAGGTGAAATATGCATGACTTTATCATTTTAATTACCGGGTAATTAAACTGATTAAAGAATGTTTGAAATATATATATATATATATATATATATATATATATATATATATATATATATATATGTTTTTTTTTCAGTTTGAATAAAGACCTAACAGAGAAAAATAAAAAGCTACAAGGTTGGTTAAATATAATCTTTTATGACACAAGAAATTGAAATCAAGGGGCATTTTGTTCTGATTTGTTTGTTTTCAGTCAACAACTTAGGCCTCAAACTATCAAGAAATTAGTCTCTAAAAAATCTCTCTATTAATTTCTTAGAAAACAGTCTTAGTTGCAAGTAATTTTAAAAGGGGAAATTTAATTTTAGAAAACCCAGTTACCAACTCTGTGCAATTTAGAGGAAATGAATACATTTTTGATCTTGAGTTTTTGTACTATTCAAACTATTTATGATAGCTTTATGAGAGTTTTTTTTTTTATGTTGTAGGTAAAGTCAATGGATTGATAGATGAGGTAGAGAAAGCACACAGAGATATTGAGAACCAGCAAACTAAAGTGAAAGACCTAGAGGCAGAGAAGGCAGTACTAGAGGTGGAACGTCAGCGAGCTGAGAACCAGCTAACAGAGAAAATCCAGGAATGTAAAGTGAGTACTACAGATAATATTGTGAAAACTGGAGTCAGAGGTATTTATTTCACTAAGGAGAATGTCACTTCCATCATGTCATGTCAAGGTTATACTCAACAAGGTTAAAAATCATATTTGGCATGCAGAGATTGATTAACTTTATAATTTTGTGTATATATTATATATTTACCATTTTTTTAAAGCCTGTTTTTTCCATGCATTTCCAATAGTGTAGAATCTTCTGATTCTAGATTTATTACATATTTATCATGATAACTAATTTCAAGTATCGATCAGTAGGCATTGACATACTTACACAAAGATCTAAAACCCTCACTGAGATATGCTGTACATACTGTAACAGTACATGTATATTTTATTGGTAATCATATTTTAGTGCCTTTCACATTAACTACTTCCTGTCCACTAAGTATATGCTTATGTATGATTGAAACAAATACATTGAGAAGCTTAGCTCCAAATGCACTAATTCATTATGCTAATCAGTATGAGAAAGATTGCACTAAATTTTGAGTGCCCTTATTTAATATGTACAATTACACACTGGCCTCTAATTGGCGACTAATTTAGTCGCCATGGTGCCTTTAATTTTTGATTGGCGCCTAAAATTTCTCTATAAGTCACCAAATTGGCAACCATTTTAACTTGACTTGGCTATTGCCGAATTCTGGACCTATAAACATTTTCAACAATTTTTTTTCAGAAGAGATTTTAGAAAGAAATTTTAAATTGGAGAAAATCATTTCCTAGTTACCTGTATCTCCTACATTACTATTCCGACAAGGGGGTGGGGCACAAAGAAACTCTTATGACCCTCCTCTTTCAAAAGTGGAAGGAGCACTATGCAAACCCCCTCCCATGACTACGCCTCATGGGTCCCTATATTGACTAATATTAGCTTTTTGCGCCTGAGAAAAAATTGCCCGGCGACTTAAGATTTGCATTGGCGACTAAATTTTTTTATTAGGAGCCAGCTGGCGCCTAACTTTTAGAGGTCACTTAGAGGCCTGCTTACAGTATTTGACATCAAAGAGATGTAGATATACCCTGGCAAGAAAAGTCTATAGTTGTATTATTAGGGGGCTCCGACTGCGGTTCCCTTTAGTGATCAGACTGTCCATCTGTCCATATGTGTCCGATTTCATTTTTCCAGAGCATGTTTTATCTTCCCTTGGCCAAGTCAAGCGTCATCTTTACCCATAGAGTGCTTTTGGGTGGAGGATGTGCAGTGACCTTAAACCAATTTTCTAGGTCAAAGGTCAAGTTAGAAAAACCTCTGTGTAAAATTCTGGAGCATATTTTCTCCTTCCTTGGCCCAGATGGGCTCAAACTTCACCCAAAGAGTTCCCTTAGATAAAGGATATGAAGTGTTTAAACCAAGTGAAAGATTAAAACTTTTGTGTAAACTCTTTATAGGGGGGTATATATTTTCTCCCTACTAGCATTTCATCCATGCTGTATCTGAATACAATGTTTCAGATCTACCTTTCATCTCAATGTCATTTGCTAGAAGCAGAACTCTTTGAGATGTCAAGTCTTAAATTGCTATTTTCTTGATGTTTCACAATAGCAAGACAGTTAAGAGTATTTTTTTTTTTAAAAGTTATGGAATATGATTTCAATTTTCTTTCCTTCAAAAAGACATTGTCATAATAACAGAGACAATCCCTCTTATTGAACAGAGTGTTATCCTTAATGAAAAGTATCAGCCAAGAAAGAGTAGTGAAGAGAGACTGTCAGATTACAAGACAGTGTCATGAAGTTTAATTAAAGCAAAGGGTTAACGAAGATAGTAAAACAAAATAGATATTGATTTCAGATGAGAAGCGATCAGTCACTTTCATTCCTTCACTCCAGAAACAGAGAGAATAGTGAGCTAAGGAAAACCACAGACATGAGTGGTAAGTTACGAAAAACTTGTTTCCCAGTAGATGTTCTTATAAATGGGCAGGACAATGTAGAAACTTAAGAAATTTTTCTTTTTTAGGTCACCTGAGTCACTCTCAGGTGACCTACTGCTATCTGTTTTTGTACATCGTCATGCGTCGTTGGTTGTGCGTCGTGTGTTAACATTTGAACATTTTCAGCTTCTTCTCTGAAACTGCTGAACCAATATCAACCAGTTTTGGCATATAGCGTTTATAGGAGAAGGGGAACAAAATTTATGAATTTCATGGTCCCTGCCCCCCAGGGGCCTGAGGGGTGGGGCTAAAACCACCAAAATTAATGCAATCTTTAAAAATATTCTCCTTTACTCCTGGACATCAAGCAGTCAAACTATTGGCATGATTGTAATAAGCATTGTGTCCTCTACCAAAATTGTGAAATTCATGGCCTTATTGGTCTCAGGGTCAGGGGTTCTGTGCTAGGGTGGGGCTATATAGATCATATAGTGAAAGTGCATTATTTCTTTGAAAATCTTCTTTTCTGGGTATTGAATAAACTACATAGTTATGAGCATGGGTGCTTTTTCCAGAATAGTGAATTTCATGGCCCTGGGTCAGGGGTTTTGGTGTTCGGGCAGTACTCTATTGATTATATAGAGAAAACTACATTTAATTCTTTGAAAATCTCTTTCTCTAATCCTGGGTACTAAGCAAACAAAGTAAGTACATGGTTATGATGAGCAAGAGTGCCTCTTCCAAAATATTTATGTGAATTTCATGGCCCTTGGGTAATGGGTTCTGGTGTTAGGATGGGGCTATATTAATTATATAGAGAAAAAGGCATTAATTCTCTGAAAATCTTCTCTGCTCCTTATATTAAGCAAACAAAGTAAGTGCATGGTTATGATGAGCAAGGATGCCTCTTCCAAAATTGTGAAAATTGTGGCCCCGTGGTCAGGGGTTCTGATGTTAGGATGGGACCCTATTGATTATACTGTAAAAATGCATTAATGTTTTGAAAATCCTCTTCTGTGCTCCTGGGTGTCTAGGAGGGAAACAGAGTACAAAATTGTATTGAGCAAGGGCATTTTTACCAGATTTGTGAAATTCTCGACCACTGAGTCAAGTGTTCTGGTGCTGGGCAGGGCTCTATTGATCTTGTAGTGAAATCTGTATTCAACTGATAGAAGTTATTTCCCTTTGCTATTTCACTTATGATAATTAATCACTGTAAATAATGTATCTGATAGGTCAATTGAATAAAAGAATTACATGTATATACAAGATTAAGTAATTTTAATGTAATACAAAAGGTACTTTCATAGTTTTTTAATGATCAGGTAGATTTGAATATAATAAATAAAGAAAGATGAGACAAAAGTTCCTTATCTTTGTACATTAATAGCGATTCTCTGTAACCACTTAAACTTCTTTGCCACGCATGGTCACCGATTTTGATGAAACTTTGCACATTATTACAACTTGACACCAGAAACATATATCAAATAAAATTTCGTTGCTATGTGTCTTGGTTGCCATGGTAACAGCCAGAAAAGTTGGAAAAATTGAGATTTTCAGCTACTTTGAATCTTTATTAAGCCTTAATAAAGACTAAGAATAACAAACAAACAATTCTCACAAAAACCTGACACCTTGTTGCCACTAATGCTATAAAGAAACTATTTAGAATTTATCTCTAAGTAAGTGGTAACCATGGGTACATTTGGAATACATTTTAGATGCTGAAAAATGCAGAAAAACGCTCAATATTCACTAATGATAGGTGTTAAATGATCAAACTCAATCATCAACCTAAGAAAAAACAATAAAAATATTTGACCTTAAGTAATTAGGTATTGGCAATATTATTCTAAAAATAACGTCATGGTTGCCATGGTAACACAGGGTTACCATGCAAAATGTTTTGCTAAGATTGGGTAAATGCTACTATCTTCAGGAAAAACAATAAATTTCATGACTGGCACATATACATCCTTAGGACCTTGCAACACCGACAACATAAGAAAAAATGGGATTAATTGTTACTTTGCAGTGTAACCATGGAAACAATGTACCTGTTGTTTAAAGTGATATTTTTTTGCTGCATTAGGAATTTACTTACCTTTTATTCAAGAAACGTATTATTTGACTCACCTTGAATAGTACTTATCTGGTAGAACTAAAGTTGAATATCATATATTGATAACGTTTGTTGAAAAATACAACACTGTTGCTATGGTAACCAAGAAGGGGAAATGTTCGATTTTGTTAATTTTATATCAATATTAAACCCTATGTGCCAGCTTTTTGCATCCAGTTAGAGATTAGGTGGCAGTCAAAATTGAAAGTCAGGTTAGTTGTTCATAATTATCAATCATAAAAGTTTTGGGAATCTACATACAAGGGTACGTATCCAAGGAAACAGAATATTTTTCAGATTTTCATGCATATTTTTTCGGCTTATTTCCATAGCAACGCTCTATTTAAAGAATTGAATTTGAGTTTTTTGAAATGTGAAAATTAGGGTCACATGAACGTCTTTAAAAATTTATCATTAGTTATATAAAAATATGCATTTAAAAAAAGATAGGATTAGATTTAAACACTAATAGAGTAAATTTAAAATCCCTTCTTGGTATTAAAACCATGGCAACCATTGCCAACCTATAAGAAATATCATATTTCTTCCTTGGTATATGTTACAAGGATCCTTTGTCTATTATTTGCTTGCATTTCAACCTATAATTTTTTTTTATTCTTAAGTGTTTGATTTTATAAAATTAAATGAGCAAAATTATTACTTTTGAATACTTTGTTTCCATAGTAACGTATGTAATAGTTGATTTACCAAACATGTTTATCATGCATTTAAGACATCAGGCCTACAACTTTCAGAAACAATCATTGCCACTTGTTTGCTTTGCTGCAAACGTTAACTGTGGGACGCTGAACATGTTGAAAAATGCCATTTTTCAAACTTTAGGACAGGTTGCCATGGTAACCATGACACGTAGCAACCAATTTCTGCCTGATTTGAGTTTATGGTATCAAAGACTTTTATCATAGAGAGTTTGGAGAAATTCTGAGACTATGCGTGCCACAGCTCCTATATAAAAGTTCAAGTCGTTACAGAGAATGGCTCTTAATTGTTCAAAGAAACAGAGAGGCCAATGTGAGAAGGAATGGGTTTACTACAAATGCTTAAGCAGTATTGTTTTCTTTAGTCTGTATGTTGAAAGTGACAATTGTGAATGTATTAACACTGACAAGTAAATAAATCTACCTTATGATTTGTTACTGATTACTACTGAGTACTGGACTAACTATTTTGTTGATCCTTGGTCATCCTATTTCTCTTGCTAATGGGTAACATCTCTCCATTTATCAATATTATATACAGTAAAACTTGTCTATTCCAGACACCAATGGTTCCAACAAAATTGTTCAGATAAGACAAAATTTCGGATTAGACAACATTTGAAACAATTAAATTTACTGAAAGGGTCTTAAAGCTAACATCGGATTAGGCAAGATTTTGGAATACACAAGATCCAGATTATACAAGTCTCACTGTATTGTGAAAATGATCTAATCCTACCTTGTGCAATCCGCATCACAGTGAATTTCCACCCTTAATTTCCTTCCCATTTTACCGTTTTCTACATTCTTTACACTGTATAATCTGACACCCTGTCTATTCTGACAGACTTTGTCTGCCAGTGCATGTCAGATTAGACAGGTTTCACTCTACTTCTATGGTTCCTTTACTTGTATTATACTCAGGTGACCGTTAAGGCCCTTGGGCCTGTTGTTTTTTAACTAAGGTCATTTTGACAAGTTCTAAGTCACATTTACAAAATTGCAAATAGGCACTTTAAAGAAATTGTATGTGTGGAGGGGGGTAGGGTATTATTTTGTGAGCTTGATCACTGTACCTCTTTTTAAATTCCATTTCCTGTGTGAAGAATGGATTTTAACAGATCTCTTTCATTGTAGGTGTTTTGCCCTTTGATCTTGTAGCCACACAGACCCAAGCTGTCAGGGAGGAACCCCCATCAAAATTGCCTTCTCTAAAGAACAACATATGCACAGATGAAAAAAATGTAAAGAGTGTGCAGCAGTCTATGGAACATTTACAGCTGGATGTGGGGAGGGTTAATGAGGGGGAGGAATACATAGACGATGGTGGCTGTCAAGTGGAGGGGCATTTGTATGACCTGTACAATGGTGGGGGGCAGAGAAGACACAGTTATCAGGCAGCAATTGACAATCACAATTGTCCACCTGGAGAACAGCACTACCCAAGGTGCCGCAGCGGTAGCTTCCAGGCGGCCATTGAGGGGGGTCAGAAAGAGGAAAGGGAGGTGGAGGTCCCTGAAAGCTTAGTTCAGATTTTACCTACTAGCATGGCAAAAGAAAGTGGGGATGGTTTTCATTCCTATATTTCTTCATATAATTACTTGGAGGATTGTTCCACATCCATGAAAATGTCAAAGTCTCACGGTACCTCAGCATATTCCCAGAGTCCCTCCCCGTTGTGTTACTCAGTCTGTGATAGTGTACAAAGTACTGGTGCTGTGGGTTGTGGTGGTGATTTTACTGTGAATTCTAGTTACTTGACTTGTACAGACACCTCTCATAACCACTGTGATGTCATGATAAAACAGTTGTGTGGAAGCGGTGGTGATGTCACTGACAGACAGACAGGTAACAAAGGCAAAGAGTTGTGTGATATGGACCCTGATTTCACTGATGGACAGATAGGTGATAAAAGCAGACAGTTTGGGACACAGTGGAGGGACAATGCAGAAGACAGTGCTGGTACACTTGAGGACACAAGTCTAAAACATAGGTACATGCATGTCTTGTAAATCACTTGATTTGGATTCTTTTGGAAACAGTTTAAATATTGTGATGTACAACTCACTGTTGTGTCTGAAGGGTCAATAAAATAATGATTATTGATAAATTTGTGCTGCAGGTCTATTACAAGAAAAAAATACTTATCAAGACACCTGAGCAAATGGCTCAAGTGAGCTTTTCTGATCAAAAAGAAACAAGTCTGATACTTGGTTGTTATCTCTAAAATGAGCCATTTTCATCCAAACTCCTTGGGTGATTAAAAAAAATGTTGAAGAAGCCCTAGATTGCATATTAGGGGGGATGGTGGTGGTTGGGGGGGGGGGGGGGGGGGGCTGAGGCATCCTGTCCACAAGTAACTGCATGCTGAAATGCAATATATTTTAGGCATCTAACATTTGATATTGTTAAACAATTCATATTAATTAAGTTTCTATATTTATTTTAAATCTTTCAATTATATCACTCTCAAACAAGAATTTTTCGAATTTATTTTCAAAGAAAATTTTTTTTTCTTCATTTTTTAGGAATATTTGTTTGATGTATGTGTTTATATGCTACATATACTTGTATAAAAAGTCAATATTCCTCAAACCTTTTTTTGTAATTTGTAGATTGGATGACTTAAATGACACACCTGTGAGTACATTCTCTAAATTAACAAAAGTTAAAGGGAAGTAACTCCATAGTGCATCTGTTACACTGAATGTTAACTTAAAAAATAAATACAGTTGTTAAGTAAATTTCATTTCCAAAACTTAATGTATTCAGAAGCAGTTTTTGAGGTGGCATGAGCAAATCAGATTCTTATTCTGTTAAGATTGTGTAATTTTGAATATGGGATTCATCTCTGATTAAAAAGTAAATGTAATATTTGTGAATTATTTTAAAATTGAGATAGAAAGTTCTCGGCAAATTATATATATATAATCATGTACAATCTTTCAAGTGGAAATTTTTATGTTATATAATAAAGATAAACTTTCTCCTGACTGTCGTATAAAAACATTTCCTCATTTTTTATTGCGCAGTTATGAAATCTAATGATTTTATTTATTATGAAAGAAAAGAGCAACTAATAAGGACATTATTTTATATTACTTCATTAAATGCTGAATTATCTGTAAACTTAATGTTGTAGTTTTTTCTTAAACATGTATTTACATTTTTCTTTTGAAGTTAACTGAAATAATATTTTATAGGAAGAACCAGATGTGATTCAGGTAACAAAATCTGGAAAAAATAACACAGGTATGTAATAAACTGCTCTGAAATATTTCCACATAAATTTCCTGTCGAAATTCATTATTGCTTATATTCAATCATGCAGTTGTTGTCACATCTACAGTGGAAAAAAAGTATGGAATATTTATCTTATTTTATTGGGTCACCTTAGTAGCTTAGATGACTCTCTATTGCTACTGTTTCTGTCTGCAGTCTAGCAATATTGTATTTGTTGCTCCAGAGAAAAATGTTGAATATTTTAGGTTTCTACAGCTAATGACTGAATTAATGTCAGTCAAATTGAAAAAAAAAGGTCTAAATAGCATTTAAGCTTGAAAGGGCATTAAAATTGTGGGACCTGATGATAGAACCAAAGTCAAAAACTAAGTGCATGTGAACTTTAACCTTTTAATGTTCAAGATATGGAGAAAGGCATTTCATATGTATTCACTCTGCTGTGCTCAGATCACTTAAAGTCACACTGTCAAACATATTCAACAGAGAAATAGTACCGGCAAAACATTACAAAATATTTTTAAAGCATTAACTTGACTACAGGGTGTAGTCACATTTAGTTCAAGGTTAAGGGCACTAGGAGAGCAAGCTAGGATGACCTTTGTCTGTGCCACAAAGTTGTAGCAGAAAATCTTAAGGAGCTTGTGGCTCATTTGTAGAAAATATGTTTGGGATAAGTTGCGGCCTGATATTGGGTGTCTATACTAAGGCCAATGGGCATTTTGTTGTTAACATTTTTAAAAATAATTACTGAAAGTTGAAATGCAAAATCTTATAGAAAGTTTTATTGTGAGATAATTTGAGGTGTTTGCTGTTCAAATGCATATCTTGTAATATCTTCTATACTGCTGCATACAGTTGACATCAAGGCCTTAGTAGCGCCCTCTACCATAAGCATCAATCCATCAATATCAACAGCCACCACCTTAAACTCATCAGATGACGAAACATGCATAGAACACATCAAAACAGCATCTCCACCCACCACAGTAGCTGACGTCAACCGCCAAAAGGAAAGTACAGCTGTCATGTCAAAGGTCAAAGATGGGGAAAAGGAGGCCTTGGAGTCAAAGGTCAAAAAGAAGGAAGAGTTGAATGAGGTCAAAGTTGAGAAGTCTAAAGGTCAAGACAAAGAAAAAGAGCGGGCAGACACAGAGGAGGGGGATAAGGATGATGATAGCATTACTGTAACCAGTAACTTAATAAGGCAGCTAGAGAAACTGGTATGCAGCTTAAAATAGAAAATTATTATCCTTTTGATTTCTAGATTTCTAGTATAGATTACAAAGATGATGTGCATGTCAAAGAACAGATGTTTTCCTATGTTATCAACTTGCTATCATTATTTCTAGAAATTTGCAATTGTATGAGACCGTCAAACTAAATTAAGTCATGAATACATTACCTCAATTTGGGGGAGATGGGTGGGTGGGGTGGAGGGGTTAATATATGAATCCTATTTTATAAAAAACAAATGAACATTTACTACGACTAAGTTGTAATAAAGGGCATTGTATAAATCTGGAAATATAGGATAACCATAATTTTTGTACTAATCTGAGTTATTGATTTTATAATGTAGTTAAAGCGACAGTACGGCTGCAAAATGTGTGCTTTTTTCATTCAAATTTACCCTATATGTCACTAAGAAATAAGGTATAAAGTTTATGTAAGCAGTTTGAGAAACAGAAATATTCTCTACTCAAACAAAATTAACGTAATTAGAATCTGCCGGAAAATCAAGGGTCGTACGAACTGGAGCAATCTTAGATCTGTTTATTAGTACCACGTGAATTCTAAAATGACACGTGCCTACACTGTATAGTTTACAATTATAATGAATATTAGGTAAAAGCAATTTTCAAAAGCAAATTATCATAACTTTCTGATAAAATAATCTAAAATAATAATTGTAAAGATTTTAGTCTGCTTTCAGGCGAATTTAACAGAATTAAAAGTACAAATGTTGACGTTTTGTGTATTAGGGTCCGAGAAAGGAAAAACCAACTAATCATACGTTATCGCGGCAAATGTCAAACAAAATATTTTTCTGCACAGTCAGTTAAAAAAAATTAGCACTTCAAATGGCAACAATGTTTATAAGTCAAAGGTGTATTTTTATGTTGGGTTTACACTTATTTTTTTTCTTTGAAAGCGATGGAAAAATGAGAAATGATAACAAGTATCAACAAACCTGTCGAATAGAACCTTCGAGAGCCCTGCATGAGTGTCGCCGAGTTCCCATTTCTTCCTTATCCAGCGATTATATTAATCCCCAAACTAAATTTTAGTCAGGAAAGTTGCTTTTTCCAAGTTCTATTTTCAGTTTCTTTTTCTTTTTGGTCGACTTTGTCAATGTAGCAGGCTTACCGGGCTTCCCTCTCTAACCATGCTGTTTTGTTTATGAAAACTATGCATGCGTGCATAGCATGGAATGTGGAACCCCGAACACGTTTTGATGTATATATTTACGTCCCATAAATAACTATTAATTTTAACGAAATAATCTAAATTATTTAATTGTGACAGTTGTAATTTTCTGAAAGTTTATACATTTATGAGCAGTAAAAAAATACCAAATCTTGTCGGAAAATTTTATCAAGTCAGTTTTTTGATGAGATGCGCCGTACTGTCACTTTAAGTTCCTTTGTCCCTGATAATTCTGTTGAAATCAGAAACTTATAACACTATAAATGACAACACAAACTGTTGGAATCATTAGGAATTTACTGTTTTCAGAATCTCAGTGACAGTTCAGGATCTAGTGACATATCTGCAGGTGGATTCAAGTCTTCACCATACCTCAAGAAAATCAGACAGGTGAGAGAGAGAAAGACAGAGAGAGAGAAGGGAGAAAACTTCTGTATCGTTATGAGGTGAAAAGTGTTAGAAATCTAATGAAACTTGACAAATAACATCTTTATTTGTGGCATCTTTCCAAGCTTAGGAAGAAAAATGTGTTGCAGTAGGTAACTTATCTTCTGACGACTGCAGGTTTTTTTCTTCTTTTTCTGTGTATTTTTACGTAATGTACAAAAATGTGGCATATGCTTTTAAGATATTTTTCCAAGTATAATTGTGGGCTTTTCCTGATAATGATTTTTAGAATGCATGATCAAATCTTGTGATCAAAACTTGTATGCAATGTGTCCTGTTCATTGCTGAACCCAAGCTCTCATTCTTGCGTTCAGTATATTGATTTTGGAATATTGAGGTTTTGAGCTGGTGATTTATTGATATTTTAACTTCATGATAGCTTGTGCTTTATAAGATATATTGGGGTTTGGGGATAAAGTTGGCATAAATCTCTGTCTGCATGCACTTGTGTATGACAAGTTTTTTGCATTTTCTGCACTTATGGTACATGTAGCACCCAAAGCAGGTAAGATGCAAAATTTCACATTTGAATATTAATGTATAAAAGTTAAATATATAATTATTTGTAGATTTACTCTGAATGAATTGCAGTATAAATTTCACTAAGAAGTATCTCATGGAAATAGATTTATAATTGTAAAATTTGGAGATGTACTATATAAAAGAACTGATTTGCAGTATTGGAGAAGCATGCAAAGACATTTTTATTCTAATTGAGTTTCATCATTTTTTAATGACAGTTTTTTACCTGTTGAACACCTGTTAAAAATTTGCAAACAATTGAGGAATGATAGCTAGTTTGCCTAGAGATGTTTCCTTAACAAAAACATGATTTCTGTAAAACATAACTGTAAACCCACCCCCGCAGTTTGGCTTATTTGTGTTAATATATAAAAACTAAATATAGAGATGACATATTGAAAGGAAATTCCTGCAAGAAAAAACAAACATGCCTTTTCTCTTATGATAAATATGCATCAAGTATGTTCACATGCTCAGTTCCAATTCTGCATCTTTGGAGCCACTGAAAACACATGTCAGTGCCATCCACAATTAAAGCTGTACAGAGATTTGTTATATAGTTACCCTCCAGATGTATACTACAGTCTTACAGGTATATAGAGATCACACTCAGCAGGCCTATAGTGAGGGGGTGATCTCTGGATTATATAGCTATATCAGTGAGAGGGGTAAAATAACGGGGGCTTTATCTTTTTTAGTCCAGGTGGAGTTAATTTCTTGTGAAGTGTCAAAGGAGGGTCGTTCAGTGAAATGGGAAGGAAATGTTTTCTTTCTGTGTTTCCGTCTTTATGAACAGTTTACCTTGTAGTAGCTGTTACAGATTATACTCTATAAACTGTCAGATTATCTCCAATGAATATCTTATCAGGTAGGAGTTTTTATGTCAATTGTGAATTAAATTTTTGGATGATTAAATTCCTTTGAGAGAAATTGATGGATGGTTTGTATTTTACGTGTTTTTTGTGTGAAATTCAACTTCCTGTAAAGGTTATAACTCTCTAATGTAAGTCATTTATTTATAAGTATGCATCTAAACACAGAGTCAAAAACAAGACATTAAGAATGATTTCTTACTTAAAAAATTACTGCTTCTTCTTGATATATATATACTCTTTAGAATGTAGTTTTGGATATTAAACTCCTCTCAGTCTTAATGTTAATGACTTTCACAGAAAAGATGAAAATTTAGATCAGCAGAATCATTAAGTGAGTCAGAATTAATATATGAGATGCAATGCCCTCCAGTGAATTTAACTACATCTGTTGGTTTTCATGTTGGGTGGTGTTTTTAAAACCTACTTTGATTTATTACAACTTTCGTATTCATTAATTTTCTTCTATTAATGCTTTTTTATTTCTCTCTCTCTCTTTTGAATGTGTAAAGGGAGTGAACTCTTCAAACTTCTTTGCCAGTTGGATGCACTTGGATGTATATAATGGAAAGTTCAAAGCAGTTGCCCAGCTCTTAATGTAAATTAGTGTAAATAGGATTTTGTATACAGCCAATTACAAATTAGTATTGATGTCACATTAAATATTGGCATTCAAAAAGAGTTTGAGGCGATATAATTACCATGCTTGTATCGATGTATTTAGCTTTTACAGAATAGGTTAGAAGCAGCAAAGCATTTGAGGATGTCATTTCATTACGTTGGCTGTCAGATACATGCATACAGTTCAAATACAAGAGCGCAGCAAACATTTACATGATCAGTTAGTTTTGGTCATTTAATACTTAGAGATAGGTCTATCTCTTATCTGCTCCATAGAAAATGGTTACTGATGATCCGTAACAAAGGCTAGCCCTTTTAAATTGCTAATCACAGTTGTGGAGAATAATAACAATTTGGAAGGTTGTTTACAGGTAGGGTATTGGCATTGTGATTTTTTTTACGTAGACTTGGATTTCGAAACAAATAAATGGGTACAATTTCATCATCATGTTCTGTGTGAAAATTAGGACTTAATAGAACAGGATTTGGTTGACCATTGGGAGAAGAATTTATTTTAAGTGGATTAAGTGATGTAAGCCGTTTAATTTACTTATTTTCATAATGCACCCACATGCAGTCATCCAAATTTTTAAAAGGTAAGCTTGTAAACACATACATCATAAGTTGAATTATTTCCAAACAGATTTTAAAAACAGCTAGTGATTGAGTGCAATTAGTTCAGTCATGACTGTGAGATTTTTAAAGTTGTAACAAGAGGAGTTAACCATCATTTAGAATTATTATGCATTCATGATACAATCTGATATAGAAAGAGGTATGTCTGGTGGTATCTTAAGAAATTTAGTCTTTACTGAAATAAATTTTTATAGCTATAAATAATTAAAAAAAATATACCTGGTTTATTAGAGTGAACAAAATCATAAAGTGGCAGGTTGATGACAGAAATGTACATCAATGGTTATGGGTATATATGAATATACCATCATTGGCTATAAGAAACAGGTTCGGGCGCAAGTTGTTTTGTTTTAAAGCTTTTATAAATGTACTAAATGTTCGGGACTACAATGAAAAGCAGGCATTATGCCCTGTATTTTTTTTTTCTACATTTTACCTTTAAATTAAGGTGTTAAAATTCAATCTGACTGTAAAGAAATTAAATACATGTTACAGGAATGGATATGTGTTATACATGTATTGTGTTCTGATTGCATTACAGAAATTAAACTTGACATTTAGTGGTTGACACCCTTGAGAAAATAGAAGATGATGTTGATTTTTTAACAAAAAATTATTCCATCTGCATGATTTTATTTGTCAGATATCAAGATTACATGTATTACACCAGGAAAAAGTTTCAAATGCTAAAAAAAAAATAATAAAAAAATTATTTGCCATCTGCATGGTTTATGCATATATGTCAGATATCAAGATTACATGTATTACACCAGGAAAAAGTTTCAAATGCTAAAAAAAAAAATTAAACGATTTGGGTAACTTTAGTTTCAAATTTTATTAATGCTTCATATGTAGGTGTTTACTTTCTTAATTTTTTGTCAGTTATTTGGCCTCTACCTTTGATTAAGTACAATTAAATTGAAAAATGATGAGACAATCTTGTAATAAATGCTGTTTAGATGTATATTTTAACTGCCTGTTGTGTAGAAGAAGCTCTTCTGTATTGACTTAGTAGGACATTTTTATTTGTTACTGGGGTGTTGTCATTCAGTCGGATTGTGAATCTGTTGACAAAGAAGGAACTCCCCCGGTGTATATTTATACCTCAGGTGCACATGCTTTAAATCACCTGTTTAAGTTCAAAAAAAAAAAAGAAGAATTTATTAAGTTATACTTCATGACCTGTAGGGCAGTAGAAATTTAAAGTTATATAATTTGGGTAAGTTTATATTTTGGTACAAATTACACTTAGCAGAATGGTGTGAGTGCTCTCTCTTAGCTTTATCTTTGTTTGAAGTAGTCCTATACTCGCACTATATCACTAGTGAATTGTAAAATGGGAAAGATGCTCTCTTTTTCCAAATTATGATTTGCTAACTATATTGCTTTGACTTTTACTGGGCCTTTTGAATATCCACAGTAATAAGTTTGCTCTAAGTTGGACTCATCAACAAATGAAAAATTAAGTAAAAAGGGAATTCGAAGGATGAAAATAATTTTTAGGTTGACAGAAACACGATGAGGTAAAAAAGGGCACCGCACACTGGAGCATCCCCTAGCAAAGAGCATACCTATAAATCAAGACAGCATTCAACATCGATCCTGATGCAAATTATTTTTCTTCCTTTTCGCGAAAGGACAAACTAAGTTAAACACACATGCAAACAAACACACACACAAAAGCGTGCTACTTATAATAAAGATGTAACACATTTCTGTGGATGAGAATGTGCCAATAACATGGATCACGAGTATATGTTATAAGATACAGACAGGCCTTGACTATTGTCAGCAGATTACAAAAAATGATCATATATGGTATAATAATATGTTTATATTTTAATATTTTGTTTTATAATTAGATTGTCCAGGCCACAATTAAAATATTGTTGGTTTGGCGTTGCCGACTTAGTCTTTATACGTTTGGGTCGGTAGGTAGGGAAAATATTTTTTTAAATTTAAATTTCAGAAATGGTACATGTTGTTAGTATCCGAACGTCATGGGTTTCCGATAGTTTAACGACAACCACAGTCCAAACTGATTCTCAGTTTTGTCATTGATTTTCAAACCCTATTAGTTTTAAACCTTTAATATACATAGTATTAAAAATCACTGACATTAAATTAGTGTAAATTCGAATCATGTGCTCGAATCCAAGCATGGCAGCCAGACTAGCAAATCGGACAGGACATTGTACCGTGAAATTTCTATTTCGAACTGGTATATCTTATTCATCAGTTTACTTTTAAAACCACATTACCACAGAGAGTCATGCCATCAATTTCTGTTATACCGAGTTTACATTTTACCACTTTCGACAGCCATCCTTGGATTCGTGATACGCATTTATTCAACATCACACAGACGCTTATAAATGAAAACTGTTTGATCAATCAAGCGTTTACATGATTCTTTCCCATTCTGTATATATTACGCAAATGTACAAACACCTAAATCTGGATGAATAAAACAAAATAAAAATTATGATCAGTATCTGTTGAAAAAAATCTTCGGGCCGCACCGATTTATGCGAGTCGGCCGGCAACGCCAAACAAAGCTAATTTTATTTTTGGCCCCAGATTTTAATTCTTATTTATAGTATAGACAAAATTGAGGATGTGTACATTTTCATAAGTGCATTCACTGTTTGGCATTTGGGGGTATATATACTGCTGAGAGGCAGAAAAATATGCATGTTGATTAGCTGAGCTAATCGCTCGTAGAGCGGCTTTTGGCTTTTTCACACCCACCTTCACAAATAATTACTCTAAGAAATATACTGCCAACTCTAAACCATTGTTGAGACAATTAACACAGAAGCTAAACCATTTTCCTTATATCTATATATACATCCATTGCTGGGATGTATGTCTATTGCATATTCAAAGCAAGTTTTTCAAGATTGCATGAGCCCAATTAGTGCCAAGTGCTGAACTAACTTTAATTAATAATAGTTTGAATGATTGTGCAAATAACTTATTCTACAGATCATGACAAATAGAAAAGAGGTTTATGCAGGTAAATAAACTATAAGCTATTAAACTTGAACCATGTTTGATTTAATAGTGTTAAATAGCAAATAGCAACCTTTCTAATGTTTTAATAAAAATCTTGAAACAGCAACCCCCCCCCCCCCAAAAAAAAAAGAAATGCACAGTTTTACCAAAGAAGCTGCAAAACAGAATCGGTTAATTCAATGACTTTTGAAACTTGGTAGCCATGCAGGGTTCACCCCATGGAGGACAAGATGACTGAATGCTACATGTACTTGAAAGATCCTATTATCAAAGGGACTGTAAAAACTTACTAGTCTTTGATTTAATGTGTTCAGTCTTGCAGAAATTTGGTCATTTTTCTTATACATTTCTGTTAGGAGAGATTTTTTTAATGTGATCTTTGGAATCATTAATTACCAGAAAGCAAATTTTCATGGATGGATAAAAATTTACAATTTCTATGGAATATGATTTTGTGGATCCATGCATGTTTCACAAAAAAAGTACTAGTATCTTACAAATTAATTCTTAATTTTCTTGAGGTTGTAAATTATGGGTAATTGTTACCCACAAAATACATGAAAGATTGGGAACCCTCCTTGATAATGATTTAACATTTTAGCATTATGGTATTTTTTTGTCTTTCTTTTTTTTTTGAAAAGACAAAAGATGTGCTGACTGCGTTAACTATTGCAGATGAAATGCCATCCTATGTTTGTTGAAACCGATGCAGCAAAAAATTTGAATTAATGTTGTATCATTTACAATATAATTCCAAAATCAATACCTTGAAAAAGTCAGCTAGCACTGTGCAAATTATCACATTGATTGATTAACATCAGCCTAGCTGTTTCTTGTAGGTTTAACAATGAGCAGATAAGAGATTATCTAGGCTGATTTAGATTGATTGGTGATTTAGTCTTAAAGTATCATGTAATCATTTTGCTTCTCATCAGAAGAACAGAATGTATACAATTTGTGATAGATAACAGAGAGCACCATGTTAGACTTGTATACAGCAGTCACCCCTCCTCCTTCCCAGCTCTCCTCTAAAGAATTTGCCGGTTAAAAGATAATTGTCTTAAGCATGCAACGTACATTACAAATAATATGTAATGATTACTTCCAAAACTTGACTTGTTTTAGGGTTCATATGACCTATAATGTGAGAATTGCTAACTTAATTACTACACCCTGTGCTATTACTTGAGATGCAAGTTCATGCAACCTTAGAATTCAGGGAATGCCCCCCTCCCCACAAAAAAAAGTTTGGGACACTGACAGAGCATATTTGATATATGCATTAATTTCAGATGTCATAAATGACTGTCAATGCTACAGTTTGTGATTATGTCATTCAATTCATATCTATGTACATGATGTATTTTAAATTTTTTTTTATTTTGCCCGCTAGGAAAATTTTGATTGTGACAGCTAGATAATAGAAAGGTTAGAAAATCTCCAGAAAATGATAAAATACAGTGGTTATATAATTATTTTCTCAGTTTTTCCAGTATTTATCATTATCATGTAGAAATTTAGAATATTGAGAATACAATTAACACATTTGAGACAATGTTTTCATGTATGCTGTAAGCATTCAATATCTAGACTGAGTTGGCGTGAGATAATATTATTTCGATTGTTTTAAAAAAATATTGTTGGTGTCTGTGCACATGAGTAGGAAAGAATGGCAACCAGGAAGAGGTTTTTGTTTCGTTACTCAGGAAAGTTTAGATATCCAAGTAATCAACCTGTACAGGTATAAATTATGTCCAAATTTTGTAACTATAAATTATGTGGAGATTCATTTCGATCTTTTAACGTCTGTTAATGTGTCATATGCATAAACCTTATAGTGGTAAGAGTTCAAGGTTTTGAGACAATTCTGTAAATGCATGGATTTTGATATCTTTGTGTTAAGCATTTAAAAAATTTCTTGATATAATCAAGATAACTAATATTACAAAATTTATCTTTGTTTTCACTGTGAACCAGGTAATTCTTTTCATTTTGTACCTTCTTTGCAATACTTTGCAACAAATTCACACATATTCATGACTTTTCAAGCAGTTTATAACTAAATCTATATAGAGAGGGATACTGTAGGAGTATGGCACTGATCGACATAAAAAATGGTATTAATTAACTATGAAATATCTTCACTGCATACTTTAAGTGAGTTGATGATGCCATGGAAGTGATTTGTTTTCATATCAAATTTCAGCAACCCCAACTTCCAAATTTGAATCCTTGCTAAAAATTCTGATTTTACAATATGTCTTGATACAGGTTTATAAAGCAGGGCTTATAAATTATAATGATAACAAATCAAATGGTCTTAAGTGGAAAATTACATCTACCTATTGAAAAATTTAATGCAAAGGGAGAAAATAGAATGAATTATTGGTACACGAGTGCATATGGATTATATATATGCACATGTAGGTTGTGAAGCCAAAATATTGCTAACAATTGTAATTTCGATTCTGTATCTTCTCATGGAATACAGGAAGAGTGTCAAGTTGTAAATGTGAACTTTTGTTACTATAAGTCTCAAATAGCAGTTCAAATAGTCTCTGACTCCAATCAAGTCAAATGCTTGGGTACATGTACAGTGCTGATTGTTTTGGGATACTTAAACCAAGAGATCCTGTATGAATGTGAAACAAAACTTTGTGCATATAGGTTGTTAGAAACCCTACTCAATCTTTTATCGTGAGAGATACCCTCTGGATAAAGCTCAAATCTTTTTTTGTTTGATAAAATGAACTATATTTGAGCACAATAATATCTAGGATAAATTTTGCAGGGAAACCTTGCCAAGCGTCGGGAGCAGATGAAGTTCCTAAGGATGCCCGATCTGAATGAGATGCAGGAATCAGGACAAATGATGACGAACGGAGATGGGGAGTCTGACAGTCTAGTGATGCCCAGCATTCCAGAGACCCTGCTACAGGACTTAGGGGTAGATCAGGACAAAACGGAACAAGAAGAGAGGTAGGTGGGGGTCTTACAATGGTGGGAGGGGATGTCACCAAGTGAGGATCCCAGAGACCCTAGCTACAGGACTTAGGGGTAGAACAGGACAAAACAGAACAAGAGGAGAGGTGAGTGGGGGTCTTACAATGGTGGGGGGGATGTCACCAAGTGAGCATCCCAGAGACCCTAGCTACAGGACTTAGGGGTAGATCAGGACAAAACAGAACAAGAAGAGAGGTAGGTGGGGTCTTACAATGCTGAAGGGGGGGGGTCACCAAGTCAGCATCCCAGAGACCCTGCTGCAGGACTTAGGGATTGACCAGGACAAAACAGAACAAGAGGAAAGGTGAGTGGAGGTCTTACAATGGTGAGGTGGGGGGATTGTCACCAAGTGAGCATCCCAGAGACCCTGTTGTTTAATTTAGGTGTAAACCAGAACAAAGTCGAACAAGAGGGTAGGAGGGTAGGGGTCTTTTGATAGGGAATGGGGGAAGGAAGGTCACCTTAAGTCAGCATCATAGAGACTTGTACAGGATATAAGAAGGACTTGAATGAATTAAAAGAAAGAGTAGTTTCTGGCCGGAGGGAAATGACTATGTAAATAGCCCAGTTAAACAACAGTCTCTATGTTAGACCAGGACAAAACAAAAATATAGAACGGATGGGATTTTTTTAGTCATTTAACTGCATATTAAAGGGCATTTACAAAGTACTGCTTGCATTCCTCCATATCAAGGTATAGGGTTATATAATTTGCTTGAATTTAATACTAGAGTGTGATAGGTATTGTGTTGGGATAATGTTCTGTACATAGATAATTATATAAGTATGAAGGGTTCTATCACCTCAGTACATCTGATTCTAGTCTGAGAAGCAATAAGTAATCCCTGGGGATCCTCTTAAATGAAATCTGTTTCAGAACGGTGACAAAAATATAGGGGATTAGGTAACATGCAGGACATGCATTTTTTGCAGTGATAATCAAGGTCATATTTTATAGGACATCCATTAAGTGTGTGTTTTTTGTCAGTCATCAAATTATAATAGAGATCGATCAATTTATATATCTGTTTTTCAATAAACTGCTTGTGTTGCACAAGTCTGTTTTAAAGTTAAGCAGGTGATTTTTTTATTGATTAAACTGATATATATGTGAATATGTCAACTATTTAAAATATTAAGAAAAAAAAATGCGTTATCAGTTTTACCATGCAAAGCCGTATGGGGGCTACTATCAGAATGATTGAATATTGAACCTTCGTTGCATTACACGTAGGCATATATAGGTGTTAAGATAGCAGATAGTCTTCTAGATACTTCCTTGTGTTCAAGGTGATTTATTCACCAATGTGTACAATGGAAGAAATGGTCGGTACTTAGGTAATCTTTTAGAACACAAAGAAGAAAACAAATACAACAAAGCTTAGGTAAGAGTTGACTGTGCATGTGCAGAAATCTATAGAGTACCTGCAGGGAAGGTGGAAGAATGGTCGGCGTGTCCATGGAGGAATTTCGTAAAATTGTGGATGAGATTTATCAGGAATTGAATGTTTTTAATGGAGAGGATTTAAGGTGCAGTGTCATTTTGTTGTAATTTATTTAATATAATGTGTTACAGGCAGGTAAATGATTAATGAGTCTTCAGATGTCTTCCATAGCATGGTAACGTAATCAGTTGTAAAGAAGCATTTCATATTACGAGTATAATGTTGAAATGACCTTGACGATTAAAATGCACAATGAATTAAAACTCTTCTACCTAATCATCATTTATTTAAAAAATTCATTTTGGATATGAATAATGTAACAGACTTGCATTTCATTTCCTGAAATTTGAACTTTAAAAATGGCCTTGACCTCAGAGAAAATAAGTAGACTATAATTTTTTCTATCTGTCAAAGCAGAATCGTATTGCTATAATTTTAAAGAAGAATAGTTAAAAACTTGACTGCCTCTTGATCAATCCTTAATTCCTTGAATCTAAATGGGTTTTAAATTCAGATCAAATTAAGATTTAGATTCCTGCTTTCAATTTCATTTTTGATCTCTAAGGAATGCTTCTTTTCTATGTGTATGGGATAGAGTCTGATGTGTGGAGTTATATGAGGCTGATTGGGGATTTCTCTAGTTACAAACACCTGTCTGTCATGCAGTGACAGTGTTAGGAAACAACTTTTAGTATCAAGTGGCTATTCTTAATAGGCTGTACACATAAAATAGTCTGGGCTGGGTTCAAGATTGTAACAGCTAGCCTAGCTGCTAGGCTAGGAATCCAGGTCTACAGAATGAGCCTCCCCTGCTGACCGGTCACACCTGCTGTGGGCTCCTTGTCATGATCAGAAAAAAACCCCAGAAAATTCATAGACAGTTCAGTGTATAAATAATGGCCTAACAATTAGTAAGAAAAACGTCAGTCAGCATTTGACTCATTGATAGGTTGTATGTGCTGACAAGGTCATTGTATCGACCTTAAAACTTGCAAAATGATGACTTCGAACAGGACTGTTAATATCCCTGTTTCATCAACTTGTTTGTCAATAGCTTGCCTTGATTTAGAAATTGTTCATATATAGAGCATGCTCTTGCATATCAAATCAAATGAGAGACATAAACCCCATATGCAGGTCCAATTTCAATAAGACTTCCTAGAGACATATATCTGTATATAGGTTTTTGATTTCAATAAAGGTTTGTTGCCATGATCATTAAAAATATAAATTTCTTTTAAATTCTTACAAAATGCTACTCCTTTTACAATTCTGGTTCAATTTCAGTGAGACTTGGTACAGAAATAAACTATGCTAAGATACATATTCCATTTATCAGTATTTTATTTTAACCAATGTTGCCATGATTACTTACGATAGAAATTTCTTTAATATTTTTTTAAAACACTTCTCCTCCTGCAGTTTTGATCTGATTAAACTTTTCACACAAGTAGATTCTTGATTCTTTATTGTAAGTAAACACCAGTAGAGCTACTGTCTTTTCAGAGACTTCTGATTTGTAGAAACTAATATATTTCTTTTTAGTTGCATTTAAATGACTTGAAAAGATCCCCCCCCCCAAAAAAAAAAAAATCAAGCTACTGCTACATGTTCAAGTTATCAACAGGAAAGGGTTAATAAAATGTGTTTCCTTGTGATTGGTTGCAGTTGATTCTCAAACTCCAAAAGTTAAAATAACATTGTACCTTACACATATGTGTGTAGATAAAATTGTAGAATCTCCACATAGAGATTGACCATATTGTCAAAATTATGTTAACGTTATGAATTAAAATATTTATTTATTAAAACATAATGAACAGAAAGAAATGCCAGAATCGGTTCAAGCATTTTACATGTGCAATCCAAACCTGTGCAAGATACTTTAGCACAATATGACATCATTGCAACTGTGACATCATTCTGTTCAATTGTGATGGCAATTAAGTGTACTGTGATGTGTCTGAAACAGTGCTGCGTGAAAATGTATGTGCAGATCAAGTAGACTGGGCCTCATTAAGATTAAAGTTCTACATATGTACAGCTTTGTAGCACTTGCCATCTCAAAGACATCCATAAATTGTTAAATTTTGGGATGCAGTTGTATCTCTGTTAAAACCTGAAGGGAGTAAATTGTTTATGCTCCTGTTGTCTGAGTTTCAGTGACATATAAGTTTTGGTGTGTCCATCTGTCTGTCTGTTTGTCCACAAAAACTTTAACCTTGGCCATGAGCTGTCATACGAGGGCATCAGTGTTTCAAGAACACATCTTGTTATAATATTGTTCAAACCAAAGACTGTAGAGAAAACAATTACTCAGCTAAAAGTATAGTAGTTTAATTATGCCTTCTAAAGGGTTGGAAGAAGCATAACTAGGTGTACAATAGAGAAAAATTTTATACATCAACATCAAACTGCACTCCTCATTAACGCATCCTAGGTTGCTTTCAGGAGTATTTTTGTCTTCCGTTAATTGCATGTCTTGAGTAAACTATTTAGTGTTTCTGAGGAGTTGTCACCCTTTTAATGCATTCACATGAGAATACATGAATACAGTTTGTAGCCCACCTATGATTTACAGAGCTGACAAATAACATTCTAATTACTAAGCTGCATTGAATCAGAAGAGGGGATTTATTTTTGCCTGCACAAGAAAGAATGATAAGAAATTGCCATTTTGAAGGCTGTCATATTAATGTTTAGCAGACTTAATTCACTTTACTTGCATGATTTCCTACTGAACAAGTTAAACAGAAATAAAATGGCAGATTCATTTTATCGTGTTGTTCTAAAATTATTTGGGAAAACTATCAGGTAAAGTTTGTATATTTTTCCTTTTGATTTTAAAAAGATTTTTTTTTTCAAATCATGTGATATGCTACCAATTAACAGACAATTTTTTTAAAATGATTCAGAAATGGATTTTCAGAATATCAGTTTATTTATTTCTTTTTTGTTTTGATAAACAATTCTAAATTCTTCTGTAGTATATAGTATATTAGATTTGTTTTGAATTTCCAAGTTTATGATTTAATACATGCTCCTGAAAAACTTTACTGCTATTACAATTAAGGAAGGTTTAACATGAAGTACTTTTCATTGCTTTATATACTAATATTTTTCCTAATTGTAATTTTTGTTTTTTGCAGTCCTGATCAGCTGTCGGAACAAGAAATTGAAGTAAGTCTTAAATTTTTGGAAGAATTAAAATGTAAATGACTTTTCCTTATATGTACAGTTGAACTCCAATATCTCGAACACCAATATCTTGAATACCATGGATATGTCGAAGTGATTTGAAAGTCCCAATTCCTTATTCTTTATGTATTTTACCCTGGATATTTGGAATCCTCAGATATATTGAAGTTTTTTCTTGGTCCCATTGAGTTCGAGATGACGAGTTTTGACTGTATTTTAAACTTGGTATACCCTTCTTTTATCTCAGAGTTCAAGAGTTTAATGAACACTCACCTTAATATTCTCAGAAGGCCTAAATACAAAAGTATTGGACTCTTGAAAATATATTGAAAAAGATCATTTGATTACAAAACCAAGTAGAGGGAGATTTTTTATCTAAAAAAAAACCTCCTCTTTTCAGAACAAGTTCACAAGTCTTTCGCTGGCATTTAAGACAGACAAGATAACATTGGAGAAGAGACTAGAAATTCAGGAGAGATCACGAGACATAGCAGAGGAGAATGTAGCCAAGGAAATCAAAGGACTGAGAGAGGCACTTGAGGTCAGGAATAAAACAGGAACTCATCTTGGTTCAGTTAAATCTTTACTTAGGAGAATATGACTTTTGATCTGTTAATATGCTTGGTCCATGGTCTGTGTTTTGTTACTCTACCATATAAATTAATTAACTGAAAATCAGAAAGCCTGGGAGGGGGAAGGTATCTGGGCCCTCCTAACCCCCCCCCCCCTTCAACTTGTTACCATTTAAATGATTTGATTGCAGCAATTAAATCAGATCTGTGTGGACTCTCAAGTCAGGGACCTCCTTCTGAAGATACAGAAACATGTTACTGTGCTGGAACAGGCCAGTGCCAGAGTGTCCTCAAGAGCAGAGGTGTTTGGGGCAGTTCAACAGGTGAGACAGTGTCAGAAGATCTCGTGAAGTGTATTGTAATATTTGTCAGGTGAGTTTTAGTGAGTTTGTGCTGGCCAGTGCTCAAGTATACTCACAGTATTGCAGGTACATCAAAGAATATGTACCTGCTGCATATTTGGACATTTATTTCCATTTCATATTGTATTTGTTAATTTAAAGAATAAATGAAATGTTTAATTTAAAATTGAAAACTGAATTTGAGAGATGAAGATGATGTAATTGTTAAATGTTGTCAGAGGGAGATAACTCTGCTTCAAGATCACTTCAGTTGTGTCATCAGATTCACAGTTAATTATTCTGTGCAGGACATTTTGCAATAATCTAGATTATTTATTCAGAATGCAATATATTTTCTTGACCTTCCAGTTAATTTTTGTTTTAAAGACATTTTATTCATTGCAACATGAATAGGATTGCATGAATAGCAAATGTGAATGCCAGTATTTACACACTGAATTGTCGACGGATTTTGCCATTATTTCCCGATCATGATAAGGAGCACACGGCAGGTGTGACCGGTCGGCAGGGGATGCTCACTCCTCCATGTCACCTGATCCCACCTCTGATGTTTGGAGGTCCGTGTTTGCTCTGCTCCTATTTTGTATTGTTTGATGGACTTTTGAGCCTGAATACTGTTCGTTATCTTCATATATTTCATTGTTATCTCTGATGTCATTTTGTAGATTCATTCAAGTATAAAAAAGCATTATGTAAAATAAATAATTAGTTCATATAAGTTTAATCAAAAGAGACAGGAGGGAGGATGAGTTACTCTTTGCTGTTTGCATCATTTAAATCATAGCACAATCTTTCTCATGAACAAAAAAAAAATTTGTTACAGGATAATTTGAAAGAATTTTTTACTGTTAAAAAGAGAGAATAAAAGTGTCTTATCTAGGTTTGCTTTACCTCAGTTTGAGCTTACATGTATAGTGGAGACAAACATGATGTTATGAACTGGTTTGTTGGTGGGTAACACATGTATCAAGTAAATAACATTGCTCTTCCAGCACTTTCCCTGTCAGTCTTATGTTTAATATTGTAACATTAATCCAGCTTTAAAGTATTTGAAGATTACAACATACTGCAAATTTACTTTTTTCCATGGCGTCATAATTTAACAGAATCACAATTACTGTTCAATCCACAGGTAGAAAATTACAGGTATGGATTTCTTAGATTGCCTCTTTATGCCTTAAATGTACTTAAGTATGCCGGGACAAATTTCCGCAGAAAATTTGTGACTCCATTGACTCCATGCATAGCATAAACTAATACCAGGTAGAAAAAAGTGCTTCTGCAGTATTTGCACAAAGTATGAATGTCTTGATAAATTGATGGTTTTTTTACAGGAGAAGAGAATGAGTAAGGCAATAGAGATCATGTTGACTCACGTCGATAACTTGAGATTGTCACACGAGAGACAGACGGCCGAACTGGAGGAGGCCAGGTAAGGGGAATCAATCAGATAACTTAAACAAGGCAATTATGTAATACCAGTAAATTAACTTTACTGTGAAATATAGCTGTTCAGTTAAAGTTAAGTCAAAATATATTTGCAGTTGTGTTTTCATGATAATGATATAGCTGTTTGATAAAATTAGGAAAAAATATATTTCAAGTATGTTTTCACGATCATGATATTGTGTGCTTTATTTCAGAATCTCTGATTAATATTGTGTTGGTGATTAAGATTGTGTATTTTCTGCTGTAGAAAATTAATTCAGGACAACAGACCCTTTGGTGGTAGCTCAGATATAGGTATGGATATCTTATCATTTTATCTGCTGGTTATTCAATGCATACATCTCAAACAACTTTTATCATATTAAAACATGTCCTCATATAAGTCATATTGCTTAATTGATAAGGGGATAACGTGTGTGAAATTGATATCAATGATGCTAGAGAGAAATTAAGAAATGAGTATAGGTGAACTCATGTAAATGATTGAAACTTAATATATGTTTTGTTGATTGTTCTTTCCAGGAGATTTTACAGGACTTTCGAGAAGATCCGCCTCTGTGTGCCAGAGCAATGCCTTTCTACCAAAAGTAAATTAACTAGAATTCTATAATATTTACTCTCTCAGAGAAAAAGTGATGTCATATGCCAATATAGTATCAGTATGTTTAATAAAGGTTTATTCATCAGTGCTGCTTGGTTAAAGAATAAATTTTGTTATTTAATTAACAGTTTACAATCATCACAGTGCTTAAGAATAAAGTCAAATCAAGATCACAATATTTGTTGAAATTAAAGGAAGATTTTGCATGTTCTTTTGTGTTATTATATAGCATACCTTTGTGGCCCACGAGCATTTAGATCAACTATACATGCTTTTTATGCAAGGCTTCTTCTGTACAGTAAATATTAGTTGTCATTAAAGTTTTGATATTCTGCAACTTTTGGTTTCTGATGTTTAGTGTTAATCTTGCATGGAAAGTTTTGCAGTTAGTTTCGATAGCGTTATACTTCAATTCATAGTTTATAGTTCTTTAATTTTCTGTTTTGTGGACATGATTTTAATCTGGCTCTTCTCTCTGAGATGGCTCTGATTTTGTATACTCTCAAGCTGAGCTAAGCAAAAAGTGCTTTTTTTAAGCATCCATTTTCCAAATTCATGCCAAATTTTGGAAGAAAGGGTATGTGGATATGATTTTTCAATGAGAAACCTTGTCCCTTCTCAAGGAAGAGTAGTGGGAAAATATGGTAGCGTGACATTACATTCTGTGGGTATTACCTACACACTGGGTTAGAAATCATTAATATACTTTTTGTGAAATGTAGACTAAATACTTTAGAAAAGGAAAAATTCTAACATTTCAAGATGATAAGTTTTTTTCTATACATGTACATGATACTAGGGCACTCCTGACACCAAAACTGTTGATGGTTAAAGAAAGAGAATGACTTAAAAGAAATTATTATGCTAAGAAGTTAAAAAATATTGAAGATAAAGAACGCAATTCTTATTTACTTCAAATTAAAGGAAATAACAGTAGTTTTGATAATGTATTTCTTAATGTAGGACCTCATGCACGTAACAATTTTATATGAAATTAAACAGGGGGCTCGTCGCCGAGTTAGTGATGCTACCTTGAATCGAAGTGGGCTTCCCCACTCTGTCTCCATGGTAAGTGACCTTTTGAACCCTGTGTGTGAGTTCCCTAAAAAAGGCAACCTTTACATAATGTAAGCTTCACTGTTATAAACTAGCAGCCTTCTATAATCGTACATGGAATATGTTAATTGTAAATGCTATATAATGATATATTATTTATCATACATATTTTACCAGCATACAAATTATATCAACATAATAATAAATATACACTTTAATACTTGATTTATTATCATTTTCTATGGCACTTTTTATAATAATCTATAACACAATTAGCATCAATATCTTTGGAATGTAAGTAGTAGCCTGGAACGTGCATGCCTTCATTCTTACCCTAGGACTGCATTTCTGAGTCCATGCATGTAACACCACCCTTACGGAGGGAGTTGTCCATTACAGATGAGGTGAGAATAAGATAACCACATGCTACTGCACTAATTAACGAACTGTAATTACTGTAAAAGCTATATATTTCAATGTGATAAAAATCTTAATATTTAAAATTTCCATTATTATTTTGCTTTTAAAAAATTATGGACCACAATTATAAATATCTTGATTTGCCCTCTTCTGACCCATAACGAGTAAAATGATTTGTCCAAGGAATACAGATGTTAAAATGTGAATCTATCACAGTATGAATAATTATTAATAATATTACAATAATTAAGAAATAAAATTCACATTTTCTTGGATGTTGCAGGGTAACGTCTAAGGTTGAAAATATTGTTTTGAAATATAAAAGTTCCTAAGAATTGAAATAGCAGGGGACAATTATAGAAGTAGAAGGGGGTCTTGGGTTCCTTCCTTAACAGGGGGTTGAAGGGGAATGCCAGGTAACGGGGGGATAACGCCTTTACAGGCGGGGACATTTCCTGGCCCACGGGTCTTAGGGACAACCCTGAAAGCTGAGACATTTATAAGCGGTTTCAAGCAATACACAACATTTCGACTGCAGACTCGGAGGCCTTAAACTTAGATGAGCTCACTTTTGACTCGGTCTCCTTTTTACCAAAGGAATGCATAATGGAAAATGAGAATGAGAGCAAAGGGGAACTCGTCTAAATTTTTTGGCCATGGGGCCTGAAGAGAAATCAATATGGTCTGAATAAATATTACATTCTAAAGTTATACAGGTGACTCTCGATGGCTCGAACTCCGATCTCTCGAAGTTCTCGATCTCTCGAAGTGAACCTCCGGTCCCGTTTTTTTCCTCTATATAACTAAGCAAATTTACTCCCGATCTCTCGAACTCCCCATCTCTCGAAGTTCTCTATCTCTCGAACCAAGATCTGGGTCCCGTTACACACATTTCATTGTTTTTTACTCTCTATCTCTCGAAGTTTTGATTGTGCATGTATACATGTCAATCAAGCGTAAAATTAATGCACCTTGGACTTACCTGGATAACAGTAAACGCCTTGGGCTGGGATGGACGTGTTAATTGGGTGTTTACATAGATGACACTACACCTGTGAATCGTCCGAGTGTTGATATAATTAATTGGTTAACTGTTAAATTATAAACAAATTGCTTCACAACTTATTTGACTGGACGGGACGATAATTTTGAGGAAATGATTTAGGGACGTGTCAGTAATTTTTCCATAGATTATGAACTTTAATATTATTAGAGTCTACACAATCCCAGTTTGGCAAACATTGCACAAGAAATCCTATCTCAAGAACTGAATACCGATTACGAACAATCTTGTGAAGGACCAATCACACCGGGGGGGGGGGGGGGGGGGGGGGGGGAGAGCCAATTAGACACTTGCTATTCAGGTTTCAAGTAATCATGAAATGAGAACTAATAGATATTGAAACTTAAAATAATCATTTTATTTATTCAAAATACGATCATTGTTTTTGAAATCAAGTGAATTACCTGTAAAAATATGAAAGAAAACGTGTAATGACATTATCAACATATACTTCCGGTATGTATAATAGTAGAACAATGATGATCGGAACTGAAAATTCCGGATTTTATTCACTTTCTATCTCTCGAACCCCCCGATCTCTCGAACTTTTCTTACGGTCCCTTGAACTTCGAGAGATCGAGAGTCACCTGTATATTCATTCACCTGTACAAGTTTGATAAGTTTCTCTGATCTGAAAATCTTTTGATTTATTGGAGAATAATGCCTGCGGCATTTCTTTGATCTCAGCAATGATTTTAGTAGAATGCACCATAGATGTTTCTTTCTGTAGTGAGTAAAATTTGAATAGAGTATTCAAAAAAAAAAATTTTTTTTTGAAGTATGAAAAAAAAAATCTTCGGTCAGATGAATTCTTAAAGTAATTTGAATAAGGGTAAGAATTTTTTTAGTGTAGACTTTTTAGTGATTTCCAGGCATGTGCATGATTGTATTAAAAAATATATGGCCCTTGCTTTTGTTTACATCTATTACTCTTTTATTTTGTTTTTCGCAATAAATATGCATAGAAATTGGATGAATAGGCTAATTTAATTAAAATGTCTTCTTTCTTAAAAAAGAAAAAGAAGAAAATCTGCTCTGTTTTATCACAAATCTCCAAATATGTACAATGTCAATTTCAAAGAGAAAAAAAAAGAAACTATTGTATGGATTTTGAACATGTACAGTGTATGTACCCTGTTTTAGGATGCCCGATCCAAGTTTCAGCAGCTAGCATCAGTAGCAGCCCTGAAGAACTCCACCACCTCAGCCTTTAGGAGGGCCTCCATGAGTAAACAGACCAGCACCACGTCACTGTTAGGACAGAACCTCAGACTGTCCCAGGACAGTACCCAGTCTGAGAGGTATATACAGTAAACTACATTAATTTGACTTATTGTAGAGAATTCAAGATTAAGTATAAAGATAAGCCAGAGATTATTTGTCATTATTGTGAAAAAACAATATTTTATCAATTCTCTATTAAAGTATTTATTAGATATAGATGTACATTAAGTCATGTTTTTTGTCTTCCGCTTTGGCAAAAGTGCAAGGACTGTAATAAATCTTATTTTTTCTGTTTGCCACAAAAACATAACTTTGGCCCAAAGTTTTGAATGAGAAACGATGGGACTTCTATCTTTTACATGTTATGTGCATTATATAGGAAAGGACCTTTCAGAACATTGTACGATTTTTGACCTTGTGACCTTGCAAAATTTTTCTTTAAAAAATTAACCTTGGTCAGAACTGTTGCACCTGAAAAGACCGGGCTTTCATACTTTTACATGAGCATTTCCTATAATATGACTTTTCCCTGAAGTTTGACCTAATTTTCAAAATCTTAAACTTATTGGTAGTTTTTGCACCAGAAGAGGTCGATTTCATGCCAGTATTTTTTCAGTTGACAGTACTATCATTTTTGACCTTATGACCTTGACCCCAAAGTTTGACTTTCAAAAACTTTAATCTTGGCAGTTACTTTTGCACAAGAACATATTACTTAAATATAATGTACATGCACTGCTCTTTTAGCATGATGGACAGACAAGACAGTTACATTATGCCATAGATCGCTACACCCTAATCAATAAATCCTCTAAAACATAGGACCCCAATTCTCTGAAATATTGCTTTTGTTCATTACATGATATGACACACATTTGAATGTGCAATTTCTTAAAAGATATAATTTTCCACACAAGACATTTTATTGATGGAAATTTATTTTTTCATTTTATTCAACTTTGTGAAAAACTGGATGTATTTTCATGTAAAGATTCAAAATTGTGATGCTCAAGCCTATACTCAACAGTTTTCGAAGTGCTTCAAATACCATACATATTTTATGTATAAAGTTTAGTCAGATGTTTGATGAAATTCTCCATATTAATACTTGCAATATAATATATTATAAATATATATATGATCTCTTTCATGGAAAAAAATCTTATTCTGCAGCAAGTCCTCAGGATCCGGCTCCAAGCAACATTCAGTGGAGGAGGAAGCATTTCAGAAAGGGTAAGTAACTCTGATTGATCAAGAATCAGTCAATCATCATGTGACGATTTTCATAATACCATATACATCATTTCTCATTATGTGTATATTGTAAACTCAGATATTTTTTATGGGGGTGAAATTCTGCATTTTTTCCATGTAACAAAGCTTTTGGGAAGGGGTTATTTTATTGGAAGTTTAGGAATTCACTAATGCATGCATATCCTGTAGAACTGTACCTCCTTTCAAAAATTGTACATGTATTGTTGACTGATAATAAATTTTTAAAAAACTTTACTCATTCACAAATGCAAACATTTCGTGGTTTACAGTAATCATAGATATTATATATGATGCATGTTTTCTGTGTTAGGTTTGAGCAAGGCTACAAGGCTCAGATTACAGGACAGTTGAAACAGTTACGAGATCAGCAGAACTCCATCACGGACTCACTGGAGGAACTCCGGGACAAGTGTGAAGAGACGGAGGAAGAGGATACAGAGGAAGTGTCAGTACCAAGGCATTCTGGGAAATAATCTGTTGTTGATCATTCTGAATTTTATGTTTTGGTTTTTAGAAGTCTAACAGATGCATGTATTTTCAATCAGTACTCCAAAAGTGAAATGTTTCCAATTTAATATTCTACATTTTGTGTTGTACAGAAGCTTGCGAGACACCATCATGACCAAGTTCTGGGAACATGTACCTGAGTGGGAGACAGCCAGTAAGAAGCTCCGACTGGCCACCGTCATCTTCTTCCTGTTTCTCGCCGCAGTCAGTGTCATCATGTCCTTCTTCCCCGTGGGGTACGCAGCGGTCCAGGTGTACCCAGAGTACCACCATGTCAACCCCCCACCTGTCTGACCTAGTGCTATTTATAGTAACAGCAATAGCAGCAAGCCATCTTTTAGTGCATTTTTATTACAAGCAATATAATGATGTTTAATTTCCCATTTAAGTAAGGTTTGAGTATACAACCATTACATTGAATTTTATTTTTCTTTTTTTTTAATATAGTTATAAGCTAATTTTACAGATATCTATTTGTAAACCGGATATCAAATTTAACTAATCAAAATTATATTGATGGCAATTGTTTTAAAATATACATGTGGTCCCATGATTTGTCACATTTCTTGCCTTAAGATGCATAAGTTGCTTCTTGTTCCAATTACTAAATGAACAGATGTTTTAAATTGAGATCTTTTAATGAAATTCTCGTGAATTTTTGTTTTATTTTTTTAATTAATTTTTCAATTATTTGATGTGTACAAAATGTTGTGTACACTATATGAGAAATTAAGAGTCCCAGACAGGTGGCCCCATTCCATCTGTTCATTTTTTGTCTTCTTAAATATATAGAAATCCACCAATGATATGTACACTGTAGTCAAATTTATTGATATTTTTATGTTGATTGAACACATACATGTATGTATTGAAGGTGTAGAATATTTTATTTGATAATGAAATGTGCCAAAGAGTATGCTTCTTAATATCAATTATCTATGTGTACATGAACTTTTGTATTTTTAGAAAAAGTAAGTGTTTTACATCTGAATTAGACAAGACAGAGAGCTGACTTGATCAAGGGAGATAATACATACAATTGCTACATTAAGCTACCCACCTACTGGTTATTTATAGGGCAGATAAAAAAAAAAAATACCATCTCGATTCTTAGGGTTTCCAAAAAAAATTATGCAGGTACATATTTCAGACATTTTTGTTCTTTTCTTAGACTACAAAGAAATACATTTCTCCAATAGTTTTTAAGGACTGTGTGTGAATAAAAACAGATATATGTCACGAACTGTTCACATATACATTTGCATTGTACGTGTATTTGTAGCTAGGGGTGCCTATAGGAATGGTTGAAGTAGCTGTATTCTATTCTTTAAAGATATGAATACATGCATACTACTGATTAATAATGGAATTAGAATACCTGGTTATTGAACCTTCTGCATTTATTATATTCCATAAAATTCTTCATTAACTTCCTCAAACAGCTTGTTCCTATGTTGTTGAAAATTGAAAAAATGTACATGTAATTTGATCAATAACCAGGCATATATAGGAATGATAATTACATATGTACAAGTGTGTCATTTTAAGGTGTGCATTATTTTTTAGAAAAGTGGCATTACATTCAAAGAACTTTAAGAAAGCGTAAATTTGCACATTATAAAATTTGTGTATGGTAATTTAACATTGCTGGCATTGTTTTAAGTGTTACAAGGTTTTAAGTAATTGATGATTGCGTAAATGGATCAGTGCAGTATCTGTTGTTTATTGAATTTCAGTTTTGGCTGTGATCATAATTTATCCATTTAACAACTTGTTGAATAAAATAAAATTAAAATCAATCACCTCAGTTATTTGTCAACGTAGAAGGATTTTTTTTGTGAATTTGATGTCATGGTACTTCATGAATAGGTAAAAAAACGATAGGTTAATAAACAGGACTAATTTTCTCGTGCATATGTTAATTGAGTGATTATCCAGTTTGACTTTAAATTCACAGGTATTTGAAGTAGGTATGAAATTAAATCATGCAATGGCCCTGTTGATTTGCTCAAGGTCACAAGTACCGTTGTGTATTTACTGCAATTATGTATTTACATGTGCATTCCTGACCTAGGTCCTTTAAGTGCATGGTCGTATTTTGTGATGTAGATGTTATTTCATCTGAAAATTGCAACGAAGGAGGGTTAACGTTGTAATGACTTAGATCTACAAGAGATATGTAAATGAGTCATTGTCACAGGGTCAAGTATAACTTACAAAGTACAAGGTTATACATGTAGTACAGCTTTTATAGGTCACCTTGACGGAATTGGGAGACTAGTGAATTCAAGGTTTTGGAGTGATTCATTTAAATTTTTGGTTAAAATTTGGTAAATATGTCCAGCTTTTACCGAACTTATACATGTATTTGGATTCTGATGTTGTAAGTGACTAGCAAAGATGAGCAGCTCACTAATGAGTGAAAAACGTCAAATTTTAAATAATTTTGTGGGTGTTTTTTTTTTTTTTTATAAAATGATAAATATGATTCATTCTTTTAACACCGATTTATTTTAAAATTTGATGCCATACAAATTAAGCATTGTATTTATCAGTTGTGAGCATTTGAAAAAAAAAATCAATTTTTAAAATTCATTTATGAAGTAGCTTGGAATCGTTTCGAACAGACCTAGTTTCTCTATTTACCCGCTTCCCTTTCTTTCGGGGAGTACGTAGATGGGGAAATCTTAATCTAGGTATGATGATCCGATAATCTGATACACAAATCGATAGGTTTTTACGTAAGAAAGGGTCCTCCATTATCATTTTAATGTCCTGCTCTAACAAAAGTCTTTGCTTGGAAATTCTCCGTCTTTTACGCGGCTGGTTAACGATTAGTTTTAGGAATTCACACTTGCATTTCCTGAATTTTGTTCGGCATTCTTCTGACTTGTTATCAATACTCCTTTCAGTGATGATAGATTTTCTTGAAGGTTTTGTGGATTTTAGAGCTCCCACTGACGACGGCACTTGATATCTTTTACTGATGTTGTTTGGTTTCTGACTTTCGGATTTCTTCTTCAATTTGACACCCTTTTCTCCGTTTTTGTCATTTGTTGAGTTTTTGTGCAAGAGATCAAAATCGGTTTTAAATTTTTTATTTGAGGTCTGTACGTTTTGATCCTGTAATGTCACCTGCTTTTTCTGAGATTGGTTCTTTTGGATGTCTTCATGTGTAGTTATTTTCTTGTCAATTTCGAATTCGGTCTCCTTCTTGTACCAAACACCGCCCACAACTTTGGCTGATGCATCAGTTGCATAGCCTGTACTAGATTTTGTGGTACTTTCAGAGGAACAGATTTGTTTTTCGAAGTTTAAGATTGTCTTATTTTCTTGGTGATTGAATGGTGCACCGGAAGTAACAATGACATCAATCTCGTCATCAGAAGTATTCGTCGATTCACTGGAGTTATCATCACTTGAGCTGCTTCCGGAACTCTGTAGTTTCCGGTCAACCTTAGAAAGTTGTGAATCATTATTGTCTGTGTTTGAAGTGTGTTTCGTGTCTCTTTCGGAAATACTGAGTACAGTTTCCTTGTTGTGTATCTTCTACAAAAATTCGAACAACGATTGAAAATTTCTAACATTAAGAAGACCCAATGCCTAGCTGTTTCACAGTACAGAAAGTGACGGACTTCTCTAAGGAAAGAATAAAATACTATAAACCTAATATTTATTTAATTCATATACTACTAATGTTGCGTGATTTTGTTTTGCCTAAACTCCTTTCTGACATTTTATTTCGCCAAACAAAATATGCAACGTTATGTCAGAAAAGGCACTATATACCACCTCAAAATGTGGAAAATTTACGTCTCTATGAAATATACTCTAGAGGTTAAACAACAGTGTCAATCCTCTCTCCCCCCCCCCCCCCTTTCTTACTCTGGAGGTTAAACAACAGTGTCAATCCTCTCTCCCCCCCCCCTTTTCTTACTCTAGAGGTTAAACAACAATGTCAATCCTCTCTCTCCTCCCCCCTTTTTCTTACTCTAGAGGTTAAACAACAGTGTCAATCCTCTCTCTCTCTCCCCCCCCCCTTTTCTTACTCTAGAGGTTAAACAACAGTGTCAACCCCCCCCCCTTTTCTTACCTTTTTCTTTCTGTTGTATATCAGAATAGCGATGATCGTTATGATGATAATGAAAACGATACCACTGACGACAGACGCAACGACAATATCTGACGATTGAGAAAATGAATTTAATTTAGATACCAGTAAGTTAAAATCTTCTGTGTATATTTCTTTTTGAATAATGAGTACATTTATCTTTTCATCTCATTTTTGTATATCTTAAATATCGTTGGAATATAGTGCATGTGCAGTATGAGTTAATTCATGTTGATCTGAGGTTATGACATATATGTAAAGGGACAACTTATTAATTTATATAATATAAGGGTATCTCTAGCTTTAAAAACAAGAAAGTTTTAAAACTCTCTAGCGGGCATTGCAGGAAGGAGAAAAGGGCACCCCCTTTCTAGTGAGTTCTAAGTTTTTTTGGTCCTTTTAAACGAATTAAAATATCATGTATATGCAAAGTTAACCTATATTTCAACATTTTTACATATATTAAACTACGAAAAAGTTCCCTCTGTCATAGATAGTTCCTATTCACATAAAAAAAATTGAGACCTATTGTTACGTGTACGCTTTTTTCAGAACTGAAATAAATTATTTGTATACATCCTTATTCTTTACGTACATAAGTAGGATATAAAAATCCAATGTGTTTGTTATTGGTACTTACATTGGCTATCCATTAGTTTAATTAATTACTTGACAGTATCAACAAATAAACAACACGTCAATACAAGTGTAAATGATCAGTAAACTTGAATTCTTTTTAAAAGACTCTCGTTTATGCGGAACGATAGTTTCCAGTGTGTAAAGACGACTTTTGAAGTTGTCGTAACTTGTATTGGAATAGTCACTGAAATATGTGTAGAAGACTTGGAGAGGGCATACTTGTTTTGATTTTTAACTTCTACCCCCCCCCCCCCCCCCCGGAAAAAAATTCTGGATTCGCACCCTGGATACAATGTTAATGTTCTTGCTTGTCAAAAGTAACATATAGGCCTATATTAAATATTTTATATGGTTTGAAAAGATTTTCTTCAAAATAAGGTTATAAAAGAAGGAAGGAACAGACGCGCCTAGGAGGCATCTTTATCTTCTTCGTATAAGACTGCCAAACTGTAAAGCCGTCTGTGAACATTTTAAATTTTTTTTCCCCTTAACCAATTTTTTTGGTCTGAAGCGATGGTGGCATAAATTGAAAATAATGAATTGGAGTTCTCTCTCTTTCGCCAAAATTAGTTATTAAAAGTTATTAAAATTTCTGCAATGTACCCAAGAAAGTCTAGTTTCTTTGACATAATTAATACTGCATTAGAAATCAGTTAAAGATGAGATTTAAGACATCATTTGATAGTGTTTAATTCACTTCAAATATTCCATATAATTATATATTCTCTATGCATACATACGACACAAGGCAGTTTATAAATTGTCTAGACACATAAATGAAAAAAAAATCTGATATGTAAAGAATAAATAACTTAACTAATGAAACAAAAAAGTTTAAGAAATTTAAAAAAAAAATGTCAACATCATTTCACATAGTTTTTTTTTTCACTTTGGAAATTTGGGGATGCGCATCAATCATTGATCATCCTCTGCTTGCCCATGTTAAGTCCCGCCTGACTTGCGCCCTTGTTACTTCCGTATTGTAAAGAAATTACATTTCTTCCTTCCCTGAGTTGATCTTCCGAGAACTCCCGAGTCTGTTTTTCTGCCATCTTTGGACCCAGCACAGGCCCCTTGTAGTCCGGTCGCGTCTGCGCCTGAAAGTTAAAGAAATACATCTCTTTCTAAAAATTGTCGATTTTTCTGGTTGGCTTATAAATAAAGGATCCCTTTTAATTAAAACCCTTTATTGAATGTGCCGAACTGTATATACTTAACGTGGTAAAGCTATAGCTGTTCAATATTACTTTATATGTGAAAACAGTAAAAATAGCCTTCTTAAAAATAATTGACTGAAATGCGGTAAGTTCACTACAGTCAAGCAGTTATCCAAAAATAAAGTAAAAATTCAATATTGACTTGAATATTTGTCAATGCACTAACAGTCTACCAATTATCCAAAATGCGCAGCATAAAATAAAGTTTAAATTAAAAAATAATCTGAGTTGAAGTTAAAAGTTTTTCTTGTGAAGAAATACCATGGAATGTTCAAAACTTCAATTCATCATTTTACTTTTTTTTCTATTTTTGTGTGGTTTTCTCTGCTACTGGTACGTACCACACGTCCCAGGGCGTGGATACAGAGGGTAACCTGGGGAATGTTTTTCCTCTCCCACAGGTCTACGGTTTGAAAGACCTCGTTAACTGGCACGCCGTATTTTTTGGCTGCTTCCTGAAAACGTTCAATGTTCTGCATGAGGGCAAAACCACCCCCTTTCGTGTCGATCTTCTTTATGCATCCAGGCATAAGTTTGTTCATCAACCTTTCAAAAAAGGGATAAATCATTAGCATGTCAAAAGATGATTATCCAGAGAGAGAGAGAGAGGGAGAGAGAGAGAGAAAGAGAGAGAGAGAGATGTGCCTTCATGTACATTAGGCGAGATAACTCTTGTCAACTTAATACATGTAACTCAAATTTCACGTGTAATTGACTTGCTTGCATAAGATAATTCCGTCTCTCAGAACATCCTCATATGGGGTTTTCCTGTCGACCGGTTCCCCTAAATTGGCCTCAACCCAGTCTAAGGCTTGAGCTTCTAACTCCTTAT